CTCTCCTAATAATGAGACTCCATACCCTCAATCCAATTTACACACAAATGAAATCATTAAAACATGCGTCCCTTGAGACGTTTACCCCCGAGTTATTAACTTATCTCTAAAAAACACAAGCTCCCGTTCCCGATGGAATTAACCCTATTTGTGTTTTGTGTGTGTGTGTTGGCTGATGAATACCTGATCTATATTTGGGTGTGTCACAAAATGTGTGTGTTCGTGTGCGTGTGTGTGTGTGTGCGTGCGTGCGCGTGTGTGTGTGTGTGTACAACAGTATCAACGTACACGCTGGTATGCAAGGCTGCGTAGGAGAGTCAATTAGGGGACAAAAGAGAGCGGAGCACAAACGACAGGAGGAGAAAGAGTGAAAGAGAGACTCTGCAGAAAAGAAAGCTCCAACTATTCTGCTCTCCTCTCGTTTCCCTTCACCAACTTCCCCCTCGGCTCCCACACAGCAGGAATGCACAGGTTACAGCCGTGTGTGTGTGTGTGTGTGTGTGTGTGTGTGTGTGTGTGTGTGTGTGTGTGTGTGTGTGTGTGTGTGTGTGTGTGTGTGTGTGTGTGTGTGTGTGTGTTGTTTACACATTTATATAGGCCTACAGAAACATATTTTACATCTAAAGTAAAGTTTGGACATTTTGGAAAATACATACATTTACTTTCTTGCCTAAAGTTAGATGAAAAGATCAACCCCACTCTAGTGTCTGTATGCTACTTATTAAGCCAGCGATGGATGGGACAAGATAGGAAACACCCACAATACGTTGATGGTACATTATCCAAGAATATCCTTATTTATAATATAAAGATAGAGCCAGAATTAAAATATAAGATAAGGATTGTAGGTTTTTTGTGTGTCAGTGATAGAATGACAATTTGTGTTTCTTTACAAAATATGATTCTATTCAAATGTAACACTATCCAACTACTCGAACATCTAACCCATAAAATAAATCTAATATGCTACATTAGTGCAAAAAGACATTTCATAGAGGGTTATGTGCTAAATTAATTATTGGTTCTGAGGGTGTTCATTACGGACTCCTAGACATAATTCAGATGTTTTGAAGTCGTAAGCAGTTCCACCAAAGATTAAATAATTAATTGAATTTCCCTTAGAGACATCTGATCATTCTACTACAAAAGGAATAATAATTAAACTCATACACTAATATAAATAATATTTTTCTATTATTAACAATACATAATTTCCCCCTTGGATTTATCTCATCACACTCTTGTGGGGGCTTAACCACTCAATGGAACTGGACTAAATTACTGAACAAGTCATTAAATGTTGTTTCACCTGAACCGCCTACAGAAGTTAAATACTACTTACAGTATGCACTAGTGCATCTGTATTAATATTCTCGTTATATATAATATAATATTAGTCACATAGGCGCCTTTTCATGGTGCATTGCATATTTTGCTCATCTTTTAACTTCAACAATGGATATGAGCACTTCTACAGTACCACTTCTTCTGGTATTAATGAATTCACTTCAGTTTTTCTACACATAAATACAGAAACAAAGCAGCAGCAGAATAACACTAGAGCAGACCGACTGGTGTGAGACTCCAGTAGCTCATCCTGAACATATTTGCATGATAGCCGCACTTTGCATGTTGAATGAAGTCAGAGGACGGTGAGAAGAAGCTCCCTGAACATAATTTCACTTAAGAGGAACTGCTTTGTTCACCCAAATGCATCGCTGTGAGCAATTATGTGCATCTATTTCTCACTGTATTTCCTTTATAAAACAGGAAAGAAGTTCCAGTAACTGTCTACACTATCTAGAATTAACCTTTACGTTATACATAGTTGATAGCAATATTTATTAGAGTAATAAAAACAATAGGGCAGCTTTAAATGAATAATGCACATATCACATGCTCTCAGTTTGATGTGAGTATTTCTCAGTCAGCTATGGCCTCTGGCAGTAAACCTGACCATGAATGAGTTTGAACACTTGACATGTGGATTATAAACGGAGACTTCACTCCATTAATTTCACGTTAACAGTATAGCACCTATCCTATTGTGGTTTGTCAGGGGTCGTTTTAACAAAGAACCAGACCCTGATGGAATACTTCAGAATGACAAAAGATCAGGAAACGTCAGATTAAGTATTGCACATCATCAGCGTATTGCTTTGGATATATAGACGTAGAGGAATAGGCACCACCTGGTCCTTATGTTGCACTGTACTTTTCATTCATCCTCCTGCTTCATTCACTGACTTGTTCTCACTTCTGTCACCTAAAAAAAAGGTAACAGGAACCAACTGAGCGCTCTGTGTTCACCCGTCATCCAAACAGATTCAACTAGAAAATCACCAACGGAGGAACGGCTTAAAGAAATGACCTCGCACAACCTTTCCTGTCTCAGCGGAGGCGCCGCAGATAAAACATCCCAGACCGCTCAGTGTCTGTGATACTAACGCTGAGGTCAAACTGAAGTCGCGTCCCTCAGACTATCTGTGACCAGGGGGCATATCATATCCACTATACATGTAGTTTTCATGAATTCATGGACAGGCTCATGTATAGCACTTCTTTCAAAATGAGACAACATGGGAATTTGAGTATAGCCTTGATGATAAATATACCCAAAGTACTGTGATATATATTTAAAGTACATCAACTGCTACTCTCTAACTGCGTGGTTAGTGCTGGGTTACAATGGGTTAGCTTAGCATAAAAGCAGAGTATGGGATCCAACTGGCTGGTATCAGCTCATGGTCTGGGCTTTAACCAGCGCAATCAGCGCAGACTTACAGAAGCCTAACAGGGATGAACTCCCCTCACCCCCGTTTTCAATCTCGGGGCTTTAGCCTACACGCAAAACAAACAAAACACAACGAATTACAACTTTGCTCACATTCATAAGCAAATACAGACACGCACATATGACTGCACATTTCCCTGATGAGATTAGTGGGAGAAAGAGAGAAAGAACAAGTAAGGGAGGGAGGGCCGGGGACAGAGAGAGCTCACCTTTCCTCATAATGACTACGCTCACCTGTTCATCCCCTCACCTGAGGCGGGGGGATCACTCCCTCCCTCCTCCTCCACCCCCCAGAGATGGTCAGATAAAGCGAGTCTTTCAGTCTCAAAAGCACTGACGCTTAGTCCCAGCTCCCTCTCTCCCCCTGCAGCCCAGCCCTGAAACTGATCCAGGTAAGCTTTCTGACGGAGAACTTTCTCACACTCCTGTACCTGCCAATCACACACCTCCCGACAGACAGGAGAAATAGTGTGACACACACACACGCAGTATGCAGCATGCAGCACACACACTGAAGCGCAAACAAAAGCAAACTGTACACAGATAAGGGAGATAATTGGCTCAGGGACAGAGAGTCTCACAGGTAAATAGGCTGATACTAATCAAGAAGAAGAAACCTAAGTCAAATGTGTGTTACGTGTGTGTGTGTGTGTGTGTGTGTGTGTGTGTGTGTGTGTGTGTGTGTGTGTGTGTGTGTGTGTGTGTGTGTGCTCAGGTCAGCAAGGATACATTAGGAGTGTGTGTTTCACGCTCTGAAGCTTCACCTGGGTTTTGTGCCATATTAGGAACATTATTACACCACAAAATGAGTCGAATTACAGCCACAAGGTCTTTTGCTGCCATTTCTGTGATACTTTCATTACGAGAAAGGAGTCAACCATGCTGTGAGCGATCAAAGGCTAAAAGAAAGAAAGATAGACTGCAGAAGAAAAACAGCAAACAAAGCCTCCGCAATCCCTGGAAAAAATTGTGGCTCGCTCCTTCGTGTCCTTGCCAAGTCGCTTTATAGGGATTTTCTCTTACTGTAGTTTCTATAAACAAATTGCTGCAATGAAGAGTCCAGGAAATAAGTGACTAATGCAAGATGATGAAGGGATGGATTTTAGGACTTCAGAGCCCTGCAATATGGGATTATTTGGGTCACTCACTGCTGTTACTGTCCCTGACTTTCTTGATCTTAAAGCAACAAAACTATACTTACATGTATATATATATATATATATGTAACAATTATTTTAATGATTCATTGATTGAAAAAAAGGGAAACAATTCTAGCTTTTTCTTTGAATAGTTTGTTTTGTCTGATCAACAGTCAAAAACCCATTGAAGTCAAATGGATTATCATAATTAACTAAGATAAATAATAAGATCGGCAAAAACTCATATTTATAACGTTTTTACTGTTGTCTGAAATTAATCTAAAGGATAATCAATATAGTAAAATTACTTTCAGCCCGATGCATGTTTGTGTAAAAGATATTTATGAAACAGTACTGAATGATCAGGGGTGGATAAAGCACAGGTTGGCCTATAGTCTGCAGATTGGGTGGGGGTGCTCAAAGAGATAGAGCCTAGGAGCCCCTAACCACCTTAATCTGTAAACAAAGCACAGAACACAGAAATAATTCATTTTATGGGCTAACGCCTTAATCTCTCCCTACTCCCTAATTATATTTGTTTAAATGATTCCTGCTAACTGTGGGTACAAATCAAGAAAAAGAGGATGAGGGGTGTCTGAAGGAGGAAAGAGAAAGTTGGATTGAATAGTCGATATCTCCCTCTTGGCAACTCTCTCCTCCGTTGTGCTAATGGAAGATGAATTGGTCTGCTCTTTGATGAGGACACAAGATGGAGCAGCCAGCAGCCTGTTGTTTAATCGAGAAGCAGATTGTTCGATAAGCCCCAAAGGAATGCAATATCATCTTATTTAGAAATTGACAGTCTAAACAGTTCCCAACTTGTTACCTTTGACTTAAAAAATAATGTACTGTGACCCCTCAGTTATTATTGCCTCACTGAACAAAATAGCTAATTTTGCTTCAGAAAATAGGTCTTCCTGTTCCATGCAAAAAGGTGTTAAATCGTTTGAGTCTGAACTCTTCATTGTTATTCCTGCCTCGCTCAGCTTGAGTGTATTGTTGTACTAGAAGCTTAGCCTGTTCCCTTGGTAACCATACTGATAAGGGGCAGTGCCCCCTGTACTTACTGGCCATGCGTACTTGAAGGGAATGACAATGTGTCCATTAGTCCCATCCTCTCCTCCTGCTCCTCCTCCATCGTGTCCTCGGTGGCGGAGCGTCTGGGAATTTCCCCCCAGGATCCCAGAGCTGCCCGACCCGAAGGTGCAGGTTCCAGAGGGGGCGACCCGGGCCTGGTACTCCTTGAGGCAGGCATGGAAAATAGTGTCACATTGGTCCCTGGCAGAGCAGCGCTGGCCCCCGCTGGCCTGGAGGTCGCAGCAGTCTCCCGTCTGCAGCAGTCCGAGGGGGTTCTGGTAGTAATAGATCTGAAGCTCGAACATCCCGACTGCACACACAGCCTGAGTCCAGAGAGGGGAGAGGGAATGAGAGAGTTACATTAATATGTTATTAACAAAAGCAGTGCGAATAAGAACTCGCTATTACGGTATGAAGGCTCTCATTAGTATGATGCAAAAGCAACAAAAGTCAAAGGTGATTTAAATGTGTTATTTGATGATTTGTTCAAATTCATGTCTTTTTAGTGAAGTGTAACTAAAAGTGTGCCTGAAATAGTTGCATCAATGGTGGCTAACTGTTGTTTTTGCCAAGTTATAGTTTAGTTTGGGGTTATACAATGAGATGATTTTTAAGTTTTGCAAAAGTTGTTTAACTGAAAAAATGGACAGAAAGTATTGCAGAAAGACATGAAAGCAAGTAGAACATAAGCCAGAAGGGATTCATGTCTCTGTTTGACAGTAATCTTAAAGAAATACTGCCCTATTTTGGTTAATATGTTTGTGAGCAGATTTTTTTGTGGAAAAAATGTCAGTAGAACGGAGGATTCAAATTAAATCCTATTTTTATAGAGCAAATAGGTTCAGAGCACCACACACACAGTGAAATTAGGGTTCTGCATTAGCCGCTTTCACACCAAGTACTTTGTTGTACTTTGTCGTACTTAGTTCCCAGCACTTAGTTCCCAGCACTTTTAGTTCCCCCATGAGGGAAGATTACGCAAATGAAGCCACTGACGTCACTTCTTCTTCTTCTTCTGCTTTGGGTTTACTGGCAGGCCGCTGTCAACAACTTCAGGGCGTATTCTTTCACACACACATACGGGTTTTGGGCCGAGGGCGACACCGTACTTCCGGTATCCGCCATTTCACACGAGGTGCAAGCAGAATATCATAGTCTATTGCCTTAATCAATATAGTCAACTTTAAAATACCACATATATGCATTGGCATGATAATATTATTGTGACAAGTGAGGTATTCACCTGGTGTTTCCAGAAGATAGACGTAGATGCTGCCAAAATCGACCGAAGGCTACTTTTGAGGGTCGTAATTCCATACATTGTACATCCAACAACCCACACAGCTCTAGTTTACGCTGGTAACGACCTAGAGCACACCCCTCAAGTCCAGAGATGTAATCTGAAGACATGCAGCGATTTCTTCGGTCGTTAATTCAGAAAAAAAACCTAGTGCACTCTGCCTGGATACGTTAGCTAGCTGTTTATATTAGCACCTCCAGGATTTTTGCACCTCCAGAAAAATGGCGTATTTATATATATATATATATGGCGATCGTTGCATTGTGGGTAGCTCCTGACGTCACTGTGTGTGAAAGAATACTGCCATAGATAATAGGCTTGTTTGAGACGAGCGAGACCGAGGACGTTTCTCAATCGCGAGGATTTTGGCTTCCAAGCCAATATTTCAAGGATGCTACTATACGTCATCGAGTGCCGCCGAAGGACTGTTCCAATCTCCAGCATACTTGGAATTCCACCGAGGCTGCGTCCTTGGTTTGGGGGAAATTTCGAAGCTGCACATGGGTAGACTTCGCGTCCTTAAAATCCCAACAATGCTTTGCGCACGGACCAATTTCAAAAACATGTGTTGGTAAATATGTTACTTTGTTACATTTGTTTGTTATCACGAAAAATGTGTTCCGTGAAAGTAAAGCAAGTTCATAATTATAGACATCGTGAGGTATTTATTTTTGGTACAGTTTATGTTGAAACCGTTAGAGAGCAGGGACGTGCACAGGTACGGGCTAATGTTGCCCGGGCAACGGCCCGTTTTCCCTTTTTGGCTGACCTGCCCCTCTGGAGAGAGCGAGAGTTTTTTTTTCTTTTTCTGTTGTGGTCGAATCAACATGATGAGCCCACAATTAGTATTGTAGTGTCTCGCTGCGGGAAAACCATGGGGAAAACACACCAGCTTCACTCTTCTTCTACTACTTCTTTTACTTCTTCTTCTTCTTCTTCTTATATGTATTTGCCCCTAACTTTTGAATGAAGAACTCGTTTCAGTGTTAACTCATTCCAAAGTATGACCACAAAAGTGTTTTAAACCAGGTAGGCCTACGTTTTTATTATTTATGTTCTATATCGCTAAGTGTGTGATTACACATGTTACGTATTATATATATTATATTTATTATAGGCTACTGTATCGGATTTTGGAAAATGGACTTTGAGTTTTCTCATGGGAGGGACTTTACTTCCTCTTGACACCGTCGGTTATTTACAAAAAAACACCTACATATACTTGTTATTGTGCTTCTGTGTCTTTCCATCTGCTCCGTAAACTCCTATTAAACATCCATGGTAAACTCCCTCAACGGGGCCGCCCTCTCTCAGGAGAACACTTCACTGTCCCGCTTCATTGTAGGATTTCTGCCATGTCTCCACTTTAGTTTGAGCATCTCTGTTATTAAGTTATGGAATACTAAATAAATAACTAATTAGATACCTTACCGTTACTGCGCTCATAAAGAATGATAAGAATAATGCATATTGAACTGGTTTAATTAATTAGTGAGTTTATTTAAGGTAATTAGAGAAGCCCTATTTGATCAGTATGTCTGTTCAGCAGTTACAATGGTCAAACTACATTAGAACAGAATTTTCCCCATTTTTTTTTTAATAGTTTCTAACATTAGATAGTTTAATGAGATATGGACCGCAAAACAAAAAATGTCCCTGGTTTTCATTTTAAAAATCAAGTCACCGAATGCAAGTAGTTGCCTACTTATTTTGTAATGAGATGATGATGTGAATTACTGTTCAAATCAGTTAATGTAATAATCGTTTTGGTCTTATATTTTTTTGGGGGGGGAGGCCCTTTTTCCAGTTTAGAGCAATAGCCCTTCAAATGTCTGTGCACGTCCCTGTTAGAGAGAGTGGCACACTTGTTAGCCTGTTCCATTCTTCTTCGTTTTCCGTAGCCGTGGCTTGGAAGTATACTTGCTTCGTTTCTGAAGGTCAAGTGACTTGGAAGTACGCGACTACCAAGCCAGCATCCTCGCGATTGAGAAACGGCTGACGTAGATCTGCACAATTGCGATCGCCGTCTTGCTAGTGCGTTGCATGATGGTTAGTCATTTTGTCCGACTTGCTCTGGAGGCTCGCCTACATGAGACGTTGATCTCGCGGGACAAAGATGCCCGCAGACTTGAGAGCGCGGCGCGGCGCGGCGAGGCGAGGCGGCGCAGTTTCTCTCCATGGGCTGCGGAAGCGAAATGCTTGATGGGAAACGACTCGCTAGTATCTCGAGCTGAGCGCTCATTGGTGGTTTTTACCCATGGCCACCCGAAGTCCCCGGCCGGAAGTCCCCGGAGTTGGGGACTGGCTTCAGTAGAAGCTGCTGGGACTGGGAGTCTTCCCAGCAGCTTCTACTGAAGCCTTCCGAGTAAATCGCGAGAAGCGCCGACACCTCCTCATCACTCCACCGCTCCCATGTTTTATTTTGTGTTGCCATACGTTTGTCTCTCTCCGTTGGTGCGCTGGGCTAATGCTAATAATGCTAATGCGAGCAAATAAAATGGCGGCTTAATAAAAACTTTTCAGAGTTTTACGGGCCGTGGTTTGCAATTCGCCCAGCCAATCAGAAATTGGAACCTTTTTCTCCCCAGGAAAGTCCCTGCTCTCTAGCAGGGGGTGAAAAGGTTCGCAAAAAAAGTTCTAGTTCCAGATCTTTTTGGTGTGAACGCAAAATCCCAGGAACTATCGGAACTATTCCTGGGAAAAGTACTCCGGTGTGAAAGCGCCTCTTGTCTTTCTTTTTTCTCTCCACCTTTTGTTTCACCACCACTCCCTTCTTATGTCTCACTCTCCCAACCCAGGGGACGATGACACAGAGGGGACTCCTCCTCCCTTCTTTCTCTTTGTGGTAACAAGCTGTAACGCTCCTGTAATTTCTCGTTCTGTTATCAAGTTTTTTTCTGCAGTGTTGCCATGCTCCTTTTCATCGGCCTCCCTTTCTTTACTGTGTTCCCTTACTGTTTGAATATGGGTGGAGTGAACACACATCCACACAGATTTAACAAGACCCCCAGGGAGTCTCGGAGCACAGGGGTCAGGCATGTGCGCTAATGCATGTGTGTGGGTGTGTGTGCTCCTCTGTCTGTATGTCACACTCACTGCAGAATTAAACAATGGCTTTGGCTTCTTAAAACAACGGCAAAAAAAAACACAAAAAATGATGCCACTGTTATCTCCGTTTGCCACGAAGCCTCTATTGATGAATACATCTGAATAATTCACAGCTCTTTTTGGCATTCTGGCACAAACATTGGACATAATTATTGCTCATTAAGTCCAAGAATCAGAATCATGCATCCCCAAGTGGAGTTGTGCGCTTCATTATGGACAGTAATCACTACGAGCAACAAGCTCTCGTGTGTCCACTGCCCGACACTGAGCCCGATCCTCAGTCGCCCCATTGTGTTTGGTTAGCGTGTCCCTCTCCTGCCCCTGTCCCTGAGCAGAGGGGGGGTGAGGTGGGAGGGGACAGGGGGATGAAGGGGGGTGAACCAGTCTACATCAAAAGGCTTGTGGAGATACAGTGGCGCTCATCACTCTACATCCTCCTTTCTTCCTCTCCTCCTCTCGCTGCCGAGCCATTCCCTGCATACCAGCATTTCAGCGCTCAGTCCGACCAGAGAGAGAGAGGGAGAGAGGGAGAGAGAGGGAAAGAGGGAGAGAGGGGGGCCAAGCCGAGGCTCAGACCGTCTCTGCAGGAGAGAGCTTTGGGCAGTTTGAGGTTCACTACACCCAAAACTCAGGGTGGCTCACAAACAAATCCTCTTCGTCTAAAGATATTCACGTTCAGTAAGTGAACCCTGTTTCACTGCGAAAGACAGGTAGGACAGTGCTAAGGCAGTGCAGGAGTTAAAACAAGACCACAGAGTTAAAGGAAGTGCTAAACACTATAAAAACACCATAATAAAGCATAATTTCTTCTTTCAAACAAAGTGCAACAGTTTAGGTAAAACAGTTGTAAGCTGTAGTTCACATTACAGTCGCCCACATGGTACAGAGCAAACAAGCAGAATAGAAAGGAAAGCCTCTCATTTATTGTTTGACTGAAACATGCTTTAATTAAGTTTTGATAATCGATTTAAATGTGAGGAATTTTTTCATGGCTAAAGATTGTTGTATCAAGCATCTCAAATATGAAACATTCCTGTTTTTCTTTGTGTTATATGCTAGTAGACTAAAGTGCTCTGTGTTCAGAATTATTTCACCTTTGACTGGGGACTTGTATCAGCATGTATATTTTCTGACATTTTATTGATCAGATGATGAGGGAAACATTTACCCTGTTAAAAATGACAGGCTCTATTTTTTAGCACAATGATTTTCTTATTCAGCCGTTTTTTTTTTTAAATCTGCATGGCCAAATGAAAATAGATTTTGGAAAGTTTATTCATGTTGTCACAGTATCCCAAATCACATTTCACTGCAGATGTAAGCCTTGGAAGTTGTAAAACTGAACAACAAGCAACATGAAGTGACCTCTGAAGAGTCAATAAGCTTCACTTATGAATTGTTCTATTCTGAGCAGGGTGTCCCCATTCACATGGTCTCTTGCGTTCTGTGTTAATCAAAAGTCCCCAGCAGCGGCAGCAGAGGATGCAGAGTGTTTCTCACTGCAGTGCAGTCAGAGAATGGAGGGAGTGGAGTGTGTTGTTCTTTAGCTGCGAGTGGTTGCAGAGGTGCAGAGAGAGAGAGACATGCAGAGCTAACCGAACATTCAACATTCACACGCCCCAGAGTTGATTCTGCTGTGGCCCCGGGCTCCACACACACCCAAGACACAGATGCTGCACTGTTTAGAGAAAACATGCACACACACAGACTCACACACACACTGGAGCACCTCTGGGCATGTTTTTGCTATTATTGAGTCCTGTCACAAATCATAGGCATCATGATCAGGCCAGCAACAGCTTGACAGCTCAAAGGGCAAAAAAGGAGAGTTTTTTGGGGGTAATTTTGCACCTTCTGGGCCCATATTATGCTGGCATAGAAACAAAGCTTTTGATGCTGCCAAAAATAATACATACTCCGAGCTTGTCAGAATTGATTGCATTGACTATGCTTGTATCCAATAGTTTACGCACAAAATAGAGTATGCATCAATGGAACCATGAGTCATGGACATAAGCTGAGAATTGCAAATCATGTTTTAAAAAAGACAATGCATCATCAAGCAAACGTGCTAAAGCTTGAGATGCAGAAAAATGCAGATGCTGGTATTCACTTATTAACCATGGGGTGTGGATGCCTGGCAGAGGATGTGTGGTGTGTAATAAAGGTGCTATTTATTCTCCAGTTTCCACTGAGGAGCCATGACAGTCCTTAAAAAACAATATAATTTAGTTATCACTGAAATTCACGAAATATATAATATTATCTTATAGATTATTTAATATGTGTGTCTCATCACAGAGTTGTTTAGCTAAACTATTTGTATCCCTTTGTTATTTACACTCAGTGCTTCTAAAACAAGATTATAGTAGTTCTCTTGCTGCGTTGGATAACAGACAGCAGCGCACTGATACAACAGGTGGGCACAGCGCCATGTAGGAGCAGAATGAGGGCAACACAAAGAGAGAACAGACAGTGTGTAAAGACTCCATTATTGCCTGTATTCAAACAGCTGTGATAAGAAGCACAGACTGAACAACAGGTAAAAGTCAGCTCCGGAGGTTTAAGTAGGCTACATGCCGCCAAAAATAGCACTTAATCGGTGGCTTACCTGGGGTTGTATCGTGAGCGCGAGGAGAAAAATGACAGTCCGCTGCAGGTGGAGGTGTCCCCGGGGTCGCTCACTCTTCATCTCCGTGATCTTTCCACTCCCGTTTCTTGGATAGAGCCGAGTTATCTTGTGCGCTCTTGTGCTCTCCATCCCTGCGTCAGGGGGTTGGGAGCCGTGCTGTGCGCTCTGGCGGTGGTGATGTCCCCCTTTTCCTCCTCCCTCCCTGCGTCCGACCGTCCGCCCAGCTCTCCCCCTCTCCGGTCTTAAACCCTGCAGCTCCCGCAGAGCCACTTCATCGCGCCCAGGTCAGAGAAAACCATCCCCCAGCCACCGACCCACAAACACACACATGAGTCCAGGGTGGATCTCCACTGGGAATGGCACATGCACACACACACGGCACATAAACACACTCCCCCGTACGCTGTATTCCTCGCACCACCTGCGTTAAGAGGCTTTAAAGGTCCAATCTGCCGGCTCACTTGACTTGACTCTCATCCCAATAAGCTCACACTCTCTCCCTTCTTCAAGCCTGATCCACGCGCAAAAACAAACAAAAAATACACCCTAATAAAATCAATTTGTATATCCACTCCGTGATGAGTGGGACAAAGCAGGAACCCAAGTTGCGTCTCTCTCCATCAGAATGATTCCACTTTGCCTGTTCTCATCGAAGCGGCTGGTTGGTCATTTGTTAACTCGATACGAAGCCCGGCGGCGACAGTCAGTGTGGACAACAATGAGAGAGAAAGAGAGAGAGGGGGGATAGAGATATATAGAGAGAGAAAGAGAGAGCATGGAGGGTGTGTCCTGGGGCAGGCAGGGTAAATCTGTCTTTCAGCTCTTGTCCGGATGGTTCCCAGTGCGCACCAATACGATCTCTCTTTCTCCCTCTCCAGTTTGCGGACCAACCCAAACTTTTTTAAAACGCCTATGTCACATTTACTCATGGGATTATCCTAAAAGCGTTTCAGTTCCCCTCTGTTGGTTTCTGTTTCCTTTCTATCTTTTGTGCCACCTCTCGGGTCCCTCTTCTCCATTTTCAGACCTCCGCTGTCCCCGGCTCGCTTCAAAGCACCGCCGTGCCAATTAGGCTAACTGCTTTTCACAGATTGGCGCAGGCTCGGATGGCCTCTGAGTGGGGAAGTTTCTATAAGCGACTGTAGTTGAAGGCATTCATAACAGCTCTGCTACGGGTGGCAACATGTAAGTTATTCAATCACAAATATGGCCTCCCATTAAGCCTGGGAAATAAACAGTAGGCCTATGTAAGCTTTAAGTAGAGTTTTTGCCTGAAGATGTTAAGCGTCAGGACACACGTGGCACAGCACAGGTACCTGAACGCACCAAACCTGCAGCTCTGATATTTTATTAAATGATCGTCATATACCCACATTTATGATTAGACTTGTTGAAACAGCTGCCACAGCCTGCACTGTACGCACATGCCGCTGCTTAATGATGCCACAGGCTATATGGCAGCTCAAAAATATAAACGAGAATTGTAGGGTGAGTATACTTTCACGGTCTCTTGGAAGTATTTTCCACATCCAGAGCTTGTCAGTTGTATCTAACATTTCTGCACAATGTACCTTCTTCATGGAGGATGATATCTAATGAGATGCTGCCTCCCTCCTCCACATGCTCAAGAGCTTCCCTGACAACCGCTGGTGTTTCCGCGGCCCTCTGTCGTGACCCCGGAGCAGAACAGAGGGCCCTTAAAGAGCTGCAGGGCTCATTTGCATAGTGGGGCAGTGACCTTCAAACACGAGCTGCATTTTAACCATCCATCCAGAAACAGACATTAGTGGGTCGGCTGTCTGACTGTAACCTAAGAAAGACCAAAGAAGAATCACCTATATAACCAGGGGTGCACATAACTTTTTTGCCCTGGTTCTCAAAGGAGCACCTGGAGATGTTGCTTGGTGCTCATCCTTAAAATGAAATAAACCGTAACTTTTGAGGGGGTCTTGACTTTATTGCTACGGGCCGGCCGAGTTCATATGCAACTCGGAAATATCTTTCTCTCTCTCTCAATGTTGGTACGCAAATGCGCCTTTTTTCAAATGACCTGGTGCTCTTCTTTTGGCGGAGGTGCGCATGCGCACCAGTTATGTGCAGCCCTGTATATAACCATAAACCGGCAACCTCTGAAATCCCTGAGGCCATGGCCTGCGAGTGGTGCATTTGGCACCATCTAATGGTCATATTGTACAGGAGTCTTAGAATATAATTCATCATGGTCTATGGCAGTGGTTCTCAGACTTTTTCCGTCAGGCCCCCATTTGGAGAAAAAAAAAAAAGTCGGGCCCCCCCCCCAACACAAATAGTCACTTAATGGGCCAAGTTAACATGTATTAAAAATACATCAATATGAACGTGAGCATTCCTTTCAAAAACATAAAGCTCCTCACACACACACTCTCAGCAGCGAAACTGTGACGCACTGGGGGGAGCCTCGCAGCGGCGAAACTGTGGTGCGCTTACACTGGGGGTGCGGGTGCTAGTGGAGCCTCGCAGATGGGGGTGCTGCAGCCCCCTCAACACGTCCATTCACACTGTCTTGCTGTCTCGCAGACCCCACGCAGCAAGCAAGAAATGAACCCAGCTCACACTGTCCGCTCCTCACAGCAGCAAGCCACCAACACGGCACCCAGACCCCACGCAGCATTTTCATCTGTTTGTCATTACTGGTGTCATTTTCTGGTTGCTAACGCCATTGTAACACATAATCACTGATGTTCCGCTGTAACGGTGGTGGACTCATCAGAGCAGAGTGGGCGAGCTGACCAATCAGAGCACAGTGGGATCATAAGGAGGGGGAGGGGGGCAGGAGCTCCAACAAGCCGTTTAGGACAGAGTGAATACTAGATGCTGTATGAGAAACCAATGTGAGTTTGGAAAATTGCACAATATAAATCTATTCTAGTATGGAATTATGATCAGTAGAAATGGACATGACATGGGACCTTTAATATAAAACACTCAATTACACGTAGCTCAAATTCGTACTTAACCTCATTTAATGTGCTTACTTTCCGCATAAGTTAAACAAACTGCCTTAAAAAGGGGAATAAGTTAACCAGGGTTAGGAAAAGGGACCACATTACTCCTGTTCTGGCTGCGTTACACTGGCTCCCTATAGAACACAGGATAGAATTCAAAATTCTTCTTCTCGCCTACAAAGCCCTTAATGGGCAGGCGCCATCTTACCTTAAAGAACTCATTATACCCTACTGTCCTACTAGGGCATTGCGTTCCAAGAATGCAGGGTTGTTGGTTGTTCCTAGAGTCTCTAAAAGTACAATGGGAGCCAGAGCCTTTTCTTATCAAGCTCCACATTTGTGGAATCAGCTTCCAGTTTGTGTTCGGGCGGCAGACAACCTATCCGAGTGCGCTTCAGACCTTTCTTTTTGATAAAGCTTATAGTTAGGGCTGATTAGATTCAGCCCCTAGTTTTGCTGATATAGGCTTAGTTTGTCGGGGGACATCTTACTTCTTCCTTCTCTCTGTCTATACCTGTGTATTCTCATGTTCCGATTAACCCAGCTTCCCCAAATTTCTTTCTTTTTGGTGTCTATATACGCCAGGATCCGGAGTCATGGATGATCCTGCGCTCCTGTGTCCTGCATCGCAAGCCCTGGATCTTGAGTCGTGGCTGTGGTCCTGGATCATAGGTCCTGGATGGATATCCTCGTGGATTCATCTTCTTATTATACACACATGCATTTCCAAACATTTGGACTACCTATGTTGCAAATGTATTATCTTTTCAATTTACACACGGCATCTATTGCACGTCTGTCCGTCCTGGGAGAGGGATCCCTCCTCTGTTGCTCTCCCTGAGGTTTCTCCCATTTTCCCTTTAAACTGTGGGTTTTCTTCGGAAGTTTTTCCATGTACGATGTGAGGGTCTAAGGACAGAGGGTGTCGTATTGTCATACTGATATTTTGTACAAACTGTAAAGTCCACTGAGACAAATGTAACATTTGTGATATTGGGCTATATAAATAAACATTGATTGATTGATTGATTGATTGATTGAATATAACCAACAACGCTCTTGACATAGGCCAATAAATGTCAGAAATCTCACAGAAGCAGATATGGACTGTCACAAGCTGATTTTTGATCTCACTCCCACGCATAACCCACCGGATAAGTAGAAGTTGCCTTTCAGTCCTTGCAACTGAGAGATCACTGTGTTGGTGAATGGGAAGGCACTAGGCATTTTGCCAAGAGCATGGGACACACACACAAAGCGCCCTGGTGGCTAAGGTCAGCGCTTTCTCAAGGCAAAATAAGGGAGTGTGGAAAGGCTTGGGAAACTACAGAAGAATGTGCATTTCTGTGTACCATTGAGCTGACGTGAAGACAATTACTCAGGGCACAGTTTAAGTCCACAACAGGGAGGCCCTGTGTGCGCCGGGTACAGTTGATAGTGCGAGGCTAAATTAAGCTTTTCATGCCCAATTCACACATCACTCTGCCCCACACTCATGAATCCAGCCTTTGAGGAGGTGGTGGTCTTTATTGGACTTTAATTACTGGTGTAGGACGGCCTTTGAGATACACTGCAAAACACACAGCAGGCATTTACTAATTGGCAAACTCATACAATTGTAACCATTTTGCAATCATCAGATAGTTGTTTAAACACGATTACTAAAACACAGTGCGTCAGTGCCTAAAGAGGCCTAGCGTCATGACCATAAATCAGAAGTGCTTGCACTGTAGTATTTAGATCTTATGCTATACCTTTTGTGTTGCTCCCACTGCATTACAAAGTATATTACTGCCATTTTGACTTTATCTGACAGCTTTAATGACTGGTTACTTAACAGATTATCATTTCCAAAATGAACAGTGCCTAGCATTAAAAACAACAATCCATTTAAACACGATCCTATCCCAATTTTTTTATATTACACGTTAAATGATGTCCTCAATTCATTAAAAACATTGCACGTTTTTAAATGATTCATCAAATATAATCCAGTAAAATAACCCTGGCATATGTCAGGCTACTTATCAAGTGAGCAGATCAAGCATTTATAACTGAATTGATTTAGAGGGAAAAAAACATTTGTCCTGAATAACAAAAGGATGAAGGAAATACTCTGATAACCTTTTGGCAAAGCCTGATGGCCCATGACCAATCATCAGTAAATTATACTGTAGAATTGATATTTGAAGTATGATTGTTTGTTTAGTAATACTATGCAACTATGCAACTCAAGCAACTTGAATGGGACCCTTAATTGGTTTGCTTTAAAAGCAGGAGGGATATAATGATTTGTATGGAGGCCCATGAAGCTCTGAACAAAGTGGTTTGATTTTGATTGCTTCCTTAGAAAAAAAAATCTAATTTATATTATCTATTTATGAGGCCAAAGTATTTCATTGTATAGAAAATATAACATTTGTGGACAATGTGGGAGGCTTTCAGACCGAGTCCAGTCAATGACTTCAGTGACATGACATTGGTGTCCTTCTCTCCATCCCTAAATGTGTTTGAGTCCATTATGGATTATTAATAGAAAACAACTAGATAATCAACCTATCCCTACAGGAGGACATAGTCTGCCATTTAATGTTATGTACATGAACAGTAATTTCCCCAAATAATCAATACTCTGTGGCTAAATATGTTTGAAAGATGTTGCCTGGAATAAAAAGCCTATGCATGTAGTTACAATATAACCTTTGCAATAAAAACATATTGCAGGCCACATACATTTTCAGCCAAATTCATGACAGCAGGGAAGTGGGCACAAAACTGTTTAAGCGAGGTCTAGCCCAACCATTCTTTTACCCACCTAACCCTGTGCAACAGCCCTCAACGTCAGAGGTAGAAGAAAGTAGGTTTGTAGCACCATCTATTGGCTTAAGGAGAAGTCCAACTGAAACATAAATACATGAATAGGTGAGGCAGAGCATTGTTTCAAGGAACATTTATTTTAATTACAAAAAAAACACAAGCTCCAGGTACAATGTCTGGTAGACCAGACCCCGGGTGCAATGCTTCATGACACACATTTCAAAGAAAATACAGTAGATTCATCAATTTATACCTGGACTTGAGTAAAAAAACAAAACAACCCAGGATGTGATACTGTTCAGTACGATGAAGAACTCTATAAATGTACCTGAAGTTGTCGGCGTGGAACAATAACACAGCATCCTGATCCAAAGAACATATACTTAGATGTAATCCTGGACAGAGAAAACTGCTCAGCAAATGTTATTTTCTAAAAATGTATTAGTTCGGGTGACTGCAGTACATTTATAAAAGACCAGGTTGCATGTTAGAAAAAGACTGGGCAGGAGGAGTTATTTCTTAGCAAATGAGATCTTCATGGCGTTCGCTTGTGTGATCTTAAAGCCTTGCAGTGCGTCTCGTGCGGCACCGGCCTGCACTTCAGTCTCAAACTCCACAAAGGCGATGTCGTGGCGACCGGGGACTAAGCGGACCTCCTTGAACCCGGGGAACCTGAATACAAAACAATACAGTCAGGCCTGGCACCAAATTGACAAACAAGAACAATGCAAATCAAATGCAGAGTAGGAGTTGTTACTGACTGGTTGAACAGCATGGAGAGCATGAGCTCGTTCGTCTCCTCTGGCAGGTTGGTGAGGAAGAGGATGTGATTGGGAGGATTTTCTGCAACCTGTGAGGATAAAAAGACATCATAGATCAGGATAGATCCACCATTACAAAATTATGAAATTATCATTATTCATAAGGACACCATGTCATGTCATAACACACTACCTGCTGTGGCATCTGTCCCGGCATCATCTGGCCAGGAGGCATGGCGCCAGGGGGCATCTGACCAGGAGCCATCCCCGGGGGAGGCATCATGCCAGGAGGGGGCATATAAGGCGGCTGGCCAGGCATATGCATCATACGGGGAGCCTGGCTCATGGGGGGCATTCCCTGAAGAGTGAAGCACATGTCAATAGCTGTGAGGAAATGTTCCTACAAACCTATCCTCATTTTGCTTTGCACAAGCAATGGTTTAGTGGCTGCACCAGAATCTGAAGTTATTTTGTTATTGTTTCATAACATACCTGTCAGAATGTATAGATGGAGCACAATAAAGTAGGAAAATACATTTTGAAATAGGGCTTCAATTAAATTATTTTTCACATAGTGATTAGATGTTTGGTCTATGAAAAGTCAGAAAATTGTTACAAAATAAACAAGTCAAAATGATCACAAAGCGGAATTTTTTCTCTGTAGCTTAATGAAACCATTTATCAGCTGGAGGCACACTTTTGCCTAATTCTCCCTTAATATTGTTTTACTTTTGTTATTCACTTCATTAGTCAGTCTTACAATGCAAGTTTTACTAAAGTTTCATGTTTTGGCACAAAGCAAACTTCTACTTTGTTTGGGGAAATACATGTTGGCCATTAGAGGAAACAAATATGACAACAATTTCCCAAAAGCTAAGGATTGGAAATACAAATTCTTTGATTCAGTTGCAATATTTGTCCAGGAACCCGGATTTCACAACAGTTAATTTCTCTGTCTACATTTATACTCCGGGTCATTTGTGAATACTTGCTAAACTGTACACATCCTGTTGCCAAAAGTGCTTTACTTACAGGCATGGCAGCCGGTACCCCAGCAACCATCGGTGCAGCAGCTCCTGGTACCCCCTTCTTAGCTCCAGCTGCATCAGCTCCCTTGACCTTTTTCTCTTTCTTTTTACGGTCACGCTCCACAAAAGTCCCCTTCATTTTAGCTATGATGTCAGAGTCCATCTTGGCATACTGGATATGCTGTAGGAAGGGATATTGTATTGTGTCAATCATATGTTTAGTGGCATATTTTATTAATTGTGACGCATAGTGCTGTAGCGACGCGTCGACGATGTCGACTTCAAAATATCGTCGACGACATATTTCCGCGTCGACGCGTCGCTACACACAGTGGGTCACCCAAAGCAACAAGCAGTTCGCAATCGCACTTCAAACACAATGGAGACTGAAACGGCTACCACCTCCTCTTCACAGGATTGCGCACGAAGCCCCCAAACGAAAACATCTCGCCCTAGGTCTTCAAAAGCATGGGAATATTTTAAAGTTAGTCCAAAACGCAAAGATATTTATATATTTATATCTCACTGAGACTGCTGCATAGCCTAGCAGAAGCAGCAGCTAGCTGTGGTGGCTACCATTAGCAGCTAGCATTTGCTCTCCGATTTTTACATAAAATGGAATTATGGATAATAAATTCAATCATTTTTTTATACAGAGACGTTAAAAACCTATGGATTAACCGATTCAGCCGCGTTTTTTCTCATTTTAATGCCATTGAACACGTCTTTTGATCAGATTGACAGCTACGGTGGTGAGACGATCTCCCTAGAAGCTCTGTGAAGGTACGTGTTGTGATGACTATTTGCTTCCCCTGTCGCGAGTCCGGATCACTCAGTGATGATACTATATACCTACATAATCTGTGGAGTCTCAGCTTTAAATCGGATATATTGTATGTGCAGCTACGATAAGTAATAAGGGTACTTTTATCTTGAGTTCTGTGCCAATGTCCGTTAGCATTTTTCGCTCAGGGGTCATTTAGATGCTTCTTATGAGACTTGTGTTTTGTTTTGGTAAACATGGTTTGTATCGGCAGTTAGCTGAGATTATTTCCGTTAATCTGGTATAACACATTAATAGGTTCTTAAATATTAAGATCCCCTGAGACACAGTATCGTGACATTTTTTTTTTTTACATTACGTTTTTTTTACATTACGTTTTTTATGAATTGAACAACAGAAAAATAATCGTTAGATTAGTCGACTAATCGATCAAATAATCGCCCGATTTATCGTTTTCAAAATAATCGTTTCCCCCCAGCACTAGTGACGCATCCTATTCGTCTGGTACTCAATAGCCGCGTTCACACCAAGTACTTTGCCGTACTTAGTTCCCAGTACTTATTTCCCCTATGGAACTAAGAGCCGATCGCGTTCACAGCTTCTACTGAAGCCTTCCGAGTAACGGCCAGTACACACTACAGCTTCGACAGCTTCAAAAACTGTTTCCAACGCGTCTGCCCATTCACTTTGAATGGGGTGACGTCACTTTTCGCCGAACTGCATTGTGGGAAGCAGAGCGGAGCTTTCCTGGCGTTTCAGGCTGCAAAAGTTGAGCAATGTTCAACTTTTCAAGCTTCTGAAGCTTTAGGTGGAAGCGTCAGCCAATCAAATCATATGCCAGTAGTAAGCTCTAGCCAATCAAACCGCTGCTTGTGTGTCAGGGGCGGGAGATTCATGTGATTGGTTGTTGGTCGAGCTTCAGACACGCCCAGCTCCAAGCTTTTTTTTAAGCTGTAGTGTGGACGGGCCTTAATCGCCAGAACCTCCTCATCTCCACCGCTCCCATGTTTTCTTTTGTGTTGCCATAAGTTAGTCTCTCTGCGTTTGTGTGCTGGGCGAATGCTAATAATGCTAATGCGAGGATAATAAAATGGCAGCTCTACAAAACATTTCAGAGTTTTACGGGGCGTGGTTTGCAATCGCCCAGCCAATCAGAACTGTGGTACTTTTTATCCCCGGGAAAGAACCTGCTCTCAGCAGGCGCTAAAAATGGGGTGAAAAGTTCCGGGCACTTAGTTATTTTTTTGGTGTGAACGCGAAATCAGGGGTACTAATGGAACTAAACGCGAAAAGTACGGGTGAAAAGTACTCGGTGTGAACGCGGCTAATGTGTGATTAACCTACCATGGGCTTGTCATAGAACGGAAATCCCTGCATGGATCTTAGAGCATTTGCAGCGCTGTTGACCTCTTTGAAAATAACAAAGGCCTGACCCTTCATCTTTACGTTTCGTGCCACCAAGATGTCCAGAATCTGGCCGAACTGTGAGAAGATTGCGTATAGCGACTTTTTCAACTCTGCAAAACACGAGAGCATTTTTGAGAAACCATTAGTTTGATGTGCACTGAAGCCAGAAAATGAAGGCTATATGAAAAAAGGGGGAACATAACTTACCATCTTTCTTGATTTTCTCATTCAAATTGTTGATGTAGATTGAATGATTGAGCCGTACATCCGGAGCAGCCATGTTCTAACCTGCACATAAGTTAACAACTTAAAAAATTCCGTTTAAACCAAAAAGGAGCACAACAATCGATTAGCCGCTAAGCTAACAAGCTAACTTGAATAACGTGGGGTGGACGTTAGCGCAATAGCTAGCTACTAGCTTTAGCTTACATTCAGAAGCGTACTATCTATGTGTATCTAGTCTATTCTATATATCCAGATTCTCCTCACTATTATAAAGACCTCCAAATATATTAACTAAATCAACAGATTGGTTTGTTAAATGTCTAGATAACAAAAAATAATAAAACTTCAGTTCGATTTCGAAGGCATACTCACCAAGGAAGGATGACTGAAAATCCCGGCCGTCACAGTTCCCGTTCGCTATTCTCGCGTTAAGAACCACGGTGCGACATAATCTTTTTCTTCTTCTTTGATTGGCGGTTGGCAAACCAACTTGCATTACCGCCACCAACTGGACTGGAGTGTGGACAAGAGACTGCAGAAAACAATAAACAAAATAAATTAAATAAAAGAACCAAAACTCTAGATTATTTTAAATGTATCAATTTCTCTTAGAAACGTAATAATCTCACAATATATATTGCCCGATGTTTTCCCTAACAGCCCTGATAGCGAAAAGTCATGATATTTTGCTTTCTTCAGTGGAAAAGCACATTTCTCTGAGTACTATATTTCCTGCAATGCAGTAAAACATGTTCAACAGTTTCTGGCTGGCTACAGTGAATACATTTTCCAGTTGGATGCTTTCCTATTATACTTAATGTATATGACATATTCTCATCCGAGAAATTACATTTTCCTCCCTTCTTTTAAACTCCACCTTCCTTCCATCCCCCGCATACCTTTGAATTGTATAAAGATGTCTTCCTGTATCACTAATGTCCCAATGTTCTTGCCATGTTGTTTGTGCATATTTCTGTATGAATGTTTTAACCTCCGCTTAGCTAAGTGGAACTTCTATGTCTGTGTTCGTAATTCTGAGTGTTTGTTTGGCCAGAATATCCAACTGTTCATTCCCATCCACACCAACATGAGCAGGAACCCATATGAAACAAGTTGCTATACCTTTGATTTGCATTTTATATCAAATTAGAAATATTTCATTTATTATGTCCATTCTAAATGAAGGTCTGCCTGATCGTATACTCGATAATGCTGAAAAGCTGCAGATGCAATTACACTATTATGTATTTCTTTCTCCTCTATCCATTTCAATGACAATACCAATGCCAACAACTCTGTGGTGATACTGACACATGGTCTGTTACCCTTTTCTTTATGTGTATTACTCACTGGGATATAAACTGCATGCCCCTGCACGCCCTGCCATCTGTAAATATATGATTGTTGAGTCTGAGTGATATATTGCAAAAATAATTCTGGACTATGCGCCATACTGGTAATAGTTCTTTCTTTTCCTTCAACTCTTTTTGTATATTGAGGTCTACACTTGGCAATGGGAATGACCAGGGTGGAATGGACGAGATTGGAACTGTGGGGCAATACTGTATTTGATTCAAACCTATACTTGCTGCTTTAACATCACCAATCCATCCAAAACTTGTTAAATGTGACTCATTGTGCTCCCAGCAGTCTTTCAACAATACTTTTCGCAGAATGACTATCACAATGCCCCTGAAGGTTTACCCAGCATGCCAACATTAACTTCACTCTTCTTATCCTTAAAGGCATTTCCACCTGTGTTGCTGATACTGGAGATGTTTTAAAAGCTCCACTACAAATCCTCAGGGCCTGAGCTTGTAGGACATCCAGCTTTTAAGGTACGATTCTGCTGCTGCCATGAACGCTATACACCCATAATCTAATACAGGTGTGTGACATAATTTTGTGACACATCAGATTTTGAGACCACCTCAAACGTTTTATTATTAAATAATGCTGTATGTATTTTAATAGCTACTGTGACTGAAGTGCCACCATAGTATTTAGGTAGACAGACACATTTTGATAAATGTGCAAACTATTATATGTTTAGAATTTAGATACAGAGTTACACCCTCTTGGAGGGACATCATTGTATTGCTCAGGTCACAGAATGTGCTTCAACACCGGTTCCTGTTTACATTATTTTAGCGCTCTGTTTCACCTTTTTTAATTGTTTTTTAACCATTTAATAGTCGGTAACACATAACTTTACAATGTAGCCAATATTTAAGATATAGGTACATAATAACAAAATATACCAAGTACTCAGTGCATTTGGTAGATGCAGTGGAGGGCGGTATGACTTGTTTCCATTGGTATGACGGCCGACAATAAACACGAAGAAGAAGAAGCTGCAAAATATGGTCAAAACCAAAACACCGGCGCTGTTAGCTAGCTGTGCTTGTTTCAAAGGTGGGTGTGGGACCATACATTTAGTGTGTGAAATATGACAAGATAAATGCTTTTTGGGAGCGATAACAGAGAAGGTTTTTTCTCTTTGGTTTGTACCAAAACAGCATAATATCAAATGAAGAACTTTTCGCCCTGTTTAAGCAACACAGCTACTAGGTAGGAGAGTGTGAGGGGTGTGAGGGTGAAGTAAAGCTGTGGGCATTACAATGTAAATATTGTTAAGAGTTGCTGTAACTTGTCCTTTTGCAAAGACCCACAAATGCTTACCAAGCTACCTCTTCTATCAGGGTTAATCCAATAGGAACTCAGCAAAGATGTCACTGGAGTGCCAGCTGTCACCACCTCCTCCTCCTGCTCCTCCTGCTCCAGATCCACCACCTCCTCCAGCCTCCACCCACAAGAAGAAGTTGTATCAGACCATAGCCAGCAGCAGGAGTCCGGTGGAGGGGAACCACACAGAGGCCCGTTTACTGCTCAGTCAGAGGGAGAGCAGGTGAGACTTTCAATGAAAATATCAACTTTTTTTGCAAATATTTAATGATAACCATCTGTTTATTTTGACCATGTACCATTATTTAATTCTCTGAAATCAGATGTTATAATTTGGGAAAATAGACAAAGAATAAACTTAATGAACAAGAATATAATGCCAAATTAATGGGAAGAAATATATCATTTAAAAATAGTTGATAAAAAAAGAGTGTTTTTTTTTTACGTGCTTCAGTTTTAGGAAGGACCTGCAGTGGATACTGGTGAACACATATGTGCCTTCCCTCATCCAAGATGGTCCACAGTAAGTCTGGAAACTGTGGTGTCAAGCCACACCTAGATCTACATTTGACTAAGAAATCACTTTACAAAGTTACAAATTGCATGTACAGTGGGGCAGTTGTATTGTTAGCTTACATGAAACATTTGCTATGATGTGACTGTGTAACTCATTTACCTCTCAGGTGTGGTCTGGTGGCTTTGTGGATGTCCGCTCACCTTCGACAACCACAGCTGAGTATTGACCTGGAAACTGTTGTTCAGACGGCACTAAGCAGAGGATACACAGCACAGGGTGAAATGTTTTCAGGTAAATAGAGTGTGTAAACTGTGCAAGAAAGACAGAGTTGCGAACAAGAGCAGAGAGGGATGGGTTGCATTCATAATTTATAACCCTTTTTCATTTTGAGGCAGTAGAAGTTTTCTAATGCTGATAAAAGTGTTGCAGGTACAAATATTTTCTTTGACATCATTAGGTCTCTTCAGTGGGGCATTAAACGCCATATGTAGGATGGGATTAAACATGTGGAATTTATATGACCTCGTTTATATTTAAGTAGGAATTGTAATTTCCCTTCCTAATAAAATTGTTTTACACTGTATATGGTGGTCATTATGATTTTTATTTTGTCAGCTGAAAACATGGCCCTGCTGGCGGAGGAGGTTTGTGGCTGCAGAGCAGAAGTGCTGTCGGGAGGTTTAGGTGGTGATAATGCTGCAACCATCATCGCACACCTGTGGGGGAGACAGCCTGTTCTCATCCCGTATCCTAAACCTAAAACAAACTGCCATGGAAAGACTTTACTGTGGTTGGGTTTTTCTTCTGCTACTGATGTCATAACAATGTCTATGATCACAGGGCAGAATTCCTTCACAGTTTGTACAGATATGATGAAGACTATAACCATGAGCCGTGCCAGCGGAGCGGCCACAGAGCGCACTGGGCGGTCGCTTCAGGTAAGACGAGATGGCTGACTCACTGGGGAGGTGTTTCATAAAGAGTGTTTTGTGAAAGGAATGTCCTGAATTAACCCAACAAAGTAAGCCAAGATTAGTCGGTTCTTTTCATAAAACTGGTTTGAAACTAAAGTCAGTCTTATTTATTTCACAATAAGACTGAGACATCAAGCACTCATTTGATTCAGAGCAAAGTAAACAGACAGTTAGGACAGAGCTGCAATGTTCATGGCTGGAAAGAAACAAATATGAACCCTTTAACTTTAGCAAAAATAAAATCACTGCAACAAACAAAGCAAAATAGGTGTTTTAGAACTTGTAGATGTATAGGGTGCAGCTTCGAGTCGTGGCTGAACCTATCACTGTGGTCCTGCCTGACTCTCATCATACAGACACATGCATTTCCAAACATTTGGTCTACCTATGCTGTAAAATGTATTATCTCTTCGATCTTCACACGGCATCTATTGCACGTCTGTCCGTCCTGGGAGAGGGATCCACCTTCCAAATGGTGAATACACCTTTTCAGTGAACCTACAATTGACATTTGGCGTGTGGCACAGTGGATTAGTGCGGTTGGTGTTCGGATCAGGGGAGCACAGGTTCAAACCCCACTGCAGTCAGCATGTCGTTGTGTCCCTGGGCAAGACACTTCACCCCAAATTGGTCCTGTGGGGATTGTCCACAGTATTGAGTATGTAAGTCGCTTTGGATAAAAGCGTCTAACAAGTAACATGTAATGTAATTTAAAATGGAAATAAATGGTGACAACGTTTTTAACCATGAGGCAACAGCCATGAGTCAAGTTGAGTGTAATACTGCGCAGATATGAGATTAAAAAAATATCTGACTTCAGATCTTATTCATGCAATTAAGTTCCTCCTATGATGTGACATGGATATTCCATGTACTAGAAAATGACTCATGGTGCAGCAGTAAAGAGAAACCTTAGGGGACAAACTTTGCAGAAAGTAGAATCAGTTGTTGCAGCACTACAAGACACAAGTAAGTCTAAATCAGTATAGAAATCAACAACAAATATAATAGGCGGTACAAAAACTAAAAAGAATAGAATACAAATATTACCGGTGCTATTCTTTAGTCTGGTAAATTGGTTAAGCCTGAAAAGGGATTGTCTTCCATGGTCCCGTTACCACATTTCAGCTCTAAAAACATCAACATGCCACACAATGACCACTTATTCTTGTTCCAGGTGTCCTCCTGGGTTTGGCCCCGGGCAGTGTGAGTGAAGCACACACTCAGCCTGACCCCACGCTGCCCTGGCTCCTCCTCGCTGCAGAGAGCAGCACTTCCTGTCCCTTCGGTAGCACGGCGGTCAGAGAGGTATTCGTCCTGGCTAAGCAGGGTAAAAGCCTGCGCTACCAGCTGTGGAGCCTGGACAGCGTCGCTCATAGCAACGAGCAGCTGAGGACGATGGGCCCTCAGAGAGCTCAGGACGGGACTCTGTACGTGGTTCCTCCGGGAGGGGTGGAGGCCGGGCTGGCAGGACAGGCGGTGCTGCTCCACACGAGCTAAAATGTAAGCTCAATGCAATGTCTGGTACTCAAGAGAAGACTCTGATCTGCTTAGAGCATCACAGTGAACTCTCAGATTGCAATCAATGGCACAGTTCAACCAAAGAAAGTATTTTTTTAAACAATCTGATGTCTGCGTGGCTTCCAGAAGTTTTTGAATTTTTTTAAGCCCTTCGGAGTTACTGTTGTTGGCTAATGAATGCAGACGGTGCTGTTTTGATAAAAATTCTCAATTTATTTAATTTAACAAGGTTATTCACTGGATAAAGTTAATCTCCAAAAGGTACACTGCAATTCAAAATGATCCGTGTCACAGATCCTTTCATTACTTTAATATAAAGTGCAATTTATTTTGAAAATGATCTTTCTCCAGCAGGTTTACAATGCGAGAACTCTTCATTAACGAATTGGTGCTAAACACATCACTGACTGATTTTTTTGTACAATAAATTGGTTAAATTCTTCATTGAATACATTGTCATCTTGATGCACTGCCTGCGAACATTTCGGGATGTTCAGTAAAATAACATGACGAAAACTGTGTGTGAAAGACTGACAGGAAAACACGAACTCTGAAGTATCTTATTTCCAGTTTATTGCAATCCATGATCTGGACAAAGCAGGGAATTAATATCAATGTTCAGCAGCCTGTTTGTGCTTTGCAGCTTTAAAATTGAAAATACAAAATGTGATTATAATTCCAGTTTTCTTACCTATAAAGCAGCACCCAGTTTGAGAACCTGATCATTTGCCATTTTACAAATATAGAGGATTTGTGGGCTAAGAAATATAATACTTTGTAAACAGCTTAATCCTCTCTCCGTGTACGTTTACTCTTCAGGAAATGGAAAAACCAAATTCCTAAAATGTGTTCTCAGATTACATGAAGTCAGATGTTTACAGCTAACCGAAACTGACGAGTTCACCGACCTGCTGCATTGCAGTCAAGGAACAACAGACATTATCATAAGCACTGACTTCATATAGTATCATAACCAAGGTTTTGATTTGTAAACTTTCCATCCTGCGAACAGAAAATTCAACCAAACCGTGTTTAGTGTGACTAAATGAGATTTACTCAACATCCTTGTGTAATATTCTTGATTTGATTATGTGTCATACGTTGAATCATAGGTTACATTTGAAGATCACATGTAAGCGGATATATAATGTAATCTTACAAAAGCCTTATCAGTTTAATCAGGTATTTCCAGTTTAATTTCACTCTCTGCACCACTGCTTTTCTGTGAAACTCCCAGCAAATCTGAAGCAACACTGATCAGATTAAATGAAGTGATAACAAATTGAATTCATGCAATAAACGTGTACATTTCTGCATCTGTAAACCCAGTACTTGACTGCTGCTTCCCATCTTAAGACACTCTGAGGCACCGCTTGATTTGTTCAATGGCTTTGGGAGGATCCATAGTGCAACAAATCCCAGACAAACATGGCTGCCAAGCTGCTTACTGCACAGTTCAATGAGATTCAAAAAACCTTTCACTGCATATCATACAAAAATCCAAATTTAGAAAACACTTGCAACAAGTTAAGCTTTGGGACTATATTGTAAATCAGTTTACACTTGGGTGAACTCTTTGGAAGGAAAGTAGCATGAGTCCACTGCACTGGAATGATCCAACCGCTCTTTGAAAATGCGAGGCACAGAAATATTACAAACAAGGTAAGGAGGTTATACCAAGGCCAAAAAAAAAAATTAAATAAAAATGTATTTACACACTGAGTTAGTTAACACGTGGTCTGACCAGTGTTTTAGTGTTGCCGTGTACTTATACATCACAAAAAATAACATTCCCCTTTGCCTAGTGCTCCTTGAAGGCGTTGTGGAAAGGCCTCTGGATCAGGTTCATGGTTGTGAGAGTGCTGTGTGCAACTCTAACCAACAGGGGGAGATGTTGAGAAGGGAGAACTGCCTTTGTAGGAAAAGAGGGCAGTGAGAGGTCCATGATTTCCGTGGACTGTACTCTCCATTTGACAAAAAAGTTACAATGCTGCATGCAATTCTCCCTCTTTCTCTTCCTTGCATCAACTCCTCGCAGATCATCTGTCCCGAGGATCCACAAATGGAGCATAATGCATGTAGTCGATCTTTGGCATATTCCACTTTCAATAAAGCTCCTGCCCTTGTTTTCGTCTTTTCTCACACAAGTACAATAGGATAAAGACACTTGGCGTGGGTAGTGAAGACCCAACTGGTGGTCATTTTCTAATCCTTCCTCTGTCAGTCTACTTTTCTCCAAACTCTCCTGATTATGTATCACAAATGTATCATTAGGGTCCTCCCTCTCAGGGGGTCTGTGGGAGCATAGTGCTGAGGATGTCTATGAGGTTGTCCAGCCCCCACAGGTAGCCGTCCTCCCTGTTACCCTCCACCCAGGGGGTCCTGTGGTCCAGGGTGCGGGGGTCCGGCAGGGGCACCGTCTTCCCAAAGTCGATCATCCACACTCTGGCCTTCCCCGAGGCGTCGTGCACGAACAGCAGGGAGCTGCCTACGACCTGCGGAGGGAGAGACGGACGGGTGAGACGAGGGAGTTTGGGTGTGTTAGAAATTCAATACAGCAGCTACTGACAGGATGATATCACAGAATGTTCAACTCGCCCAGCAGGTTTGGGAGGGAAACATGAAAAGTGAGTGTGTGTCAGTGGGTCTCACCTCGTGTGACCTGAAGAAGAGCGACTGCTCGAGGACTGATCGAAGTTCCTCCAACCGCTGCAGGTAGAGCTTCTGAGAAAAAGATATAAAGAGATATCAGAAACATTTACCATAAATAATGTTTTTTCCTACTTAACCATGAGTCTTAAAGCCTCCTAACCTTTATTGATGTTTTGTTGCTCAATAGATTTGATAAACGCTGTCTTTACAATCAATAAGAAACTATTGCTAGCAGCGGGCTAACCTAGCTTAGCATAAAGACTGTAATTAGGGGGCGAGAGTATGCCTGGCTCTGCCCAAAAGCCAAAAAGTCCCTCTACCTCTAAATATCAATAATAAACACATTGTATCTGGATAGTTTATTCTTTCAAATCAAGACTACAGTACACTAAACTGCAGTTTGCTGTTATAGAGGGGGTTACATGCTATTTCTTGGTCAAAAGGTTAAACTTTTCCATTAAAAATAATCCTCCGTGCAGTTTAACATTCACAAAAACAAGCAGTAACAGCAGAACTACTAACGTACCAGAATCTGAGTGTTGCCAGCTACAAAGTCCTCCAAGGCCTGCATCACCTGCTCCCTGCGCTTCGTCTTCTTAAAGTTGGTGTTACAAGTTCCATCAGCTTTCTGTTGAAGAAAAAACCAAATAAGATATCTAGTTTTTCTCTCCCTTTATACATTTTCACCTGTACAAAGACAACATCCCGTCCCAGCCGCAGGTCTAATGTTAGCTGTTGAGCATTCAGTGCAACACTATCAGAAGTACATTTGTTCTAGGTTTGTGTTTCTCTGAGAATGCATTTGTTGCAAACAACAACAAATATTAACGTATGAATAAAAAGGCCACTGACACAGCTTGGCTGCTTATACTTGTTCAAGAGGAAATGGGAGCAGCTGCGTTTAATAACGTGAAATATTTCCTTTAATTCTGAGTTCATGCACAGTTATTGGTGCGACCAGCCCTGGGTTTATTTTTGAAAGAACAAACAGTCCTCCTTGTTGGCTGCAGATCCAGCCTAAACTTTAACAAACTGTGTTTTCCATTTCCTCTCCCGTGTGCGGTCCTCCTAGTGAACACTAATAAATATTTACTCCCATTGATGGATTACTATTTATTTCCTCATGAGCACTGACTACTACAGCCAGGCATGCTATCAGAGCAACAAGTCCAGGATGACCTCTGACCTTTATTCCTTCGATGCGGAAGCCCATGGTGGCTGTGGAGCTGAGGGTCTCCCTCCACTGCATGTATCTGGGTTTGAGGACTCCCTGCTGGGCCTTCTCCTGCTCTGTGGGGGCCCCGGGGTCCACCGCTACCATCTTGTCATACATGTCCTTTCGCAAACGTGGACGCTCTCTGGCCTTCAACAGCTCCTCCTCCAAGTACGTCCTGAAATGTAAGGGCTTCATTAAAAATAGTTGTATGCATTTCAATATCTTATTTTTCAAATGTTCCTTCTCTTTGCTATTTTAATCAGATGTATCTGTAATAATGTTACGTCCTTAGTGTTATTTTTATTTAACTTTTGTAGTTATTTAACTACTGACACTTATTTCAACAATTTAACAACATGAGAAAATAATAAAAATGTCATAAAATAAAGTTAAAAACTATAACAACAGTAATAGTAGCAAAAAGCATGAAATAAAAAAAAGTTACTGTTTAAATATTTGAACACTTCCAGCAGCATTGTAAAGCTTTAGATGTGATCAAAGGTTTGTTTTGAAGGCTCACTGATAGTTCCTGCTTTGACCTTTGGAAAAGGTTTCCCACACAGAAGTGCTTCCCTTATCTTGAGTCTTACCTGCTGCCCATCTTGCAGTCCATGATGGAGGGCGAGTCGAAGTCAGCCAGCAGGTCATCCATCAGGTTGTAGTCCTGCTCGTCTCTCTGGACGACCCCATAATACCCCGGCACGTAGGGGCGCAGAGTGTCCTTCATCAGCTGCTGCAGACACAGCTGCTCACACTCACAGTACCGCTTCAGCAGGCGGCCGTACTCCCCGGCCTGGAAGTTACCTTGGAGAAAGAGACAGACAAGATTAAACAATGAAGACAAAATAATGCATGAGTGAGATTTCTGCAGAGTAGGGCTGCACAAAATGTTGTTTTTAAAATCTTTATTTCCATTTCAACTACAGCAAGACTCTCTGCGAAAGACTGCAGCATTGTACTCAGGGATTTACTTTCAATACAACTTTAACTTCCAAATGTAACCATTAATCTTTCTGTTTTACTTGGTTTCATTTGTGTTCAGTTTAAAGTTCAATTTGTTGTATAAGCAGTATACTGGAAAGAGCAGAAAGGTAGAACTGATTGTTCATTTATCATAAGTAGTATTGTTATTGCAATCTTTAACAAAGACACATATTATTTAGCCCTAGTGCAGACAAAGTCATGCAAACTCTATATTTATGCATACCTGCGTGGCCGGCTAGCTGCACCCATGGGTAACGCTTCTTGAAGGACACGACGAAGGGGGACCAGTGAACCATGGTCTTTAGTTTCTGCCAGGACTTATTCTGGAAAAAGAAAAATCCACGTCATCCTCTTGTTACAAAAAGGTGCGGATCGTCACACACAAGTGACAAATCTGACACTCTGGCGAAACAGTGCGAGGGTTTCTTATCCGCTTCAACAAAAGCACTAAAAACAGGCAAGAGAATGATTGTTCATTAAAGGAAAACACACCCTGTAATGTGCATATACTGACGCACACATAGACACACACACAACTTAGTAGACATTGAACAGATCCTCCCCTTTATCCAACAAGGCCAGTGCAAAACGTATGTGACAAAGCCCATTCATAAAACATTTACTAAAGCCACTGTGGTGTCATAAAACAGAGACTTACAGTCCGAAACTGTGTGTGCGCGTGCGTGCATGTGCGTGTGCGTGTGTGTGTGTGTGTGTGTGTGTGTGTGTGTGTACATAGTTATCTGTGTTGGGAAACACCAGAGCAAGGACAGTGTGCGACGGGGGACTTTGACGTAAGCAATCTGAGGGGAACATACCTTCTATTGATTAAAGCATGTGTGTGTGGGAAAATCACAACAAATGGACAGCCAGTTTAGGATATGTGAATGTGTTGAGTGAGTGTGTGTTACAGTAGACCTTTAACCTAGTTTTGCTCTCTTTTTCTTTGTACTGAAGGAAAATACATGTTTAACACAGGAACACTGGAATATGACAAAGGCTCAAAAGTGTTAATATGAGTAATAAAATGCAGGGACAAAAGACTATAATAATAAAACTAATCTTTTTATAACTAAATAGCTTCTGTGAATGGCTGTGCTGCTTCCAGGCAGGCCTATCTCTGCCGTGTTTACATGTCAGCCTATCTCTGCTCTCCTCACATGCATTCTTTCCACAGCTGCTCTGTTGAAACTCAATAAAACTGTCTCACTGCCACGGCACAGTCTGTATTTACACTGGAAGGAGGGAAAAAACAGACTTTAATTTAAAGATGGCTGTTTTGTAACTCAGCTATGACTGATGGAGCCATACAGGTTACTCATTTATTATTAGGTGGCAGTTGGCTGTTTTGTGTTATAAATTCAAACTTAAGTGTGGAAGGATCATTTATTATCCTTCATTATCGTCACGGGGTTGCACAACAAAATGTTCTTGTGGCTTAGTCCATAATATAAATATTTAATACCAATTTTCATCAGCTTTAGTCATTTCACTGTTTAGCTTTGTTTTTAATCCTTCTGATGGGAAATGGTGTGCAACATGTTTGTGCTTCGTCACACGTCCGGTCACGTCTGGCTTTTTTAGATGGACAAAAGAGACAGAGTAATGAGAGTGAACACGAGACAGTTTAATCGTGTCAACAGATTAACCTCGACATAAACTTTGTCACACTGAGGTCAAAGGACGGCGATGAAACAAGTGAACACCAAGTGCATTTCACCACAGTAGGAACTTGGGTAACTGTTCCCTTGCTCATGTGTTCCTAATTTATGACCTTCCTGAATCAAATCCAGTAGATTATCTTTGATTGGCAACAGCACTATTTCTGGACATGCGCTTGTCTTCAATTTTCTACAATCTTCCTCCGAAAACCGTTGCCAATTTGGGCCTGTAAAGGACTATCACTTAATTTATTTTCTTAGTTCTTTATTTCGTGGCAGTACATTTTCTCCACCTGGATTTTAAAAATACTTTTTTCTCTCTGCATCACTGGCCCGGGTTTTTTCATTCTTACCTTTAGATCTAGCTGTATTCAACATTAAACATTAACTCTAAACTCCTTAGAGGCTGAAAATACTCTTCAGGAAATGAAGAAACATTTATTTCTCAGTCTTTCTAGCACATATCAACTTTTCAATGTTTACACCAGGTCAAAGCTATTCATACAAAGCCGAAAAATACCCAGCCTGTCCTTATGTCACATAAAAACAACAAGCAATCCACCTTCAGACACCGACCCGGTCAGTACAGTAAAACTGGTGCCAGGGTTTGGCCTCCAAAGTGCTGCAGTAAGGGATAATTATGAAGCTGTGTAAAGTTCATAACACAAGAGTCCATCAGACTGAGGACTCAGCAAATGGACAATAAAGGACAATACTTTACGAGCCGTCATAACAGTTTTCACAACACAATCATCATGACCTAAATGATACTATATACTATTTTATACAAAAGTATAATTACATTTTTTTTTAGAATAACACACCTGTCAAATTCTTCTTTTACTTTGTTTAATATGCGTTTTGTCCTTTTCAGTACATGTATTGCCTATGTGTATGTGTGTGGGAAATTGCAATTGAGTGTTTTGAAATCTACTATATGATGCGTAATGAGATGACACATAATGAATTTGTTGTCTATTGTGAAACAACGTTTCCTGCCTGCAGGAGCATCACACTGTATGTGATGTAAAATATCAGTTTTAAACAATGCAAACACTTTAGTCCAAAAATAGTCTCCTCAAATAGCGTCTGTATTTGGAAAACAACACAACAGGTTACCAAGCCGTATCCCCAGGTTTCTAAACTTTCTATGTTATATCTTCTCTTTACTTGTCCTCATCTGTCACATTAGTAAAAAGTCTGGGGGGGGTTGGTCGACAAGAGAGAGAGGTAAAGCAGACACCAGAATCTCCAGCATCTCTTCTTTCACTTCTTTTATCCTCATGCCATCGGGCTCTTTCTCTAATTGCTTCAGCTTGACAGCTTAATGTGTTGCCTCTGTGGGGTCAAATCTATCTAAATTACCTGACACAGCCAGAGTTAATGCTTCTAATGGAGGTTTATGCACAAAACATCCCTAGAAATTACATTTAAAAAAGCCTGGACTGTTCACTTCAAACTGTATAGTGTTATTGCCGTCTCATCCAGCCTCCCACACTTCAGCTTTTTAAACACTAGGGTCACATTTCACCTCTCACAGTTCATCCTTCACCATCTCTCGCTTTCTCCATTATATAACTCTCCTAATGTATAACACAGAGGGCATTGCAGCTTTCCTTGTTTTATAAGCATCTCCAAAGCGTTGATGCAGATAAATGTGCTCAAGTTATTTTTATTTTTTCTCACATCCCACCCTTCAATTCACTGGCATCGTCTTCACACACTCACACAGGTGCATATGACACACCATACTGGATTGGGACGATACAATGTCCCCTTATTTCACCTTTCAAACACGCAAAATCCCTATTTGTATAAGTATAAATTCACACACAAGATTAAGGAGTATTGTCTGTTTAAAATCTTTAGCTTTTGGTGCTGTTGTGTTTTGCAATATCGTGAGAGGTGTTATTTTAGTCCACATTCACGGATAATAGTAGTGTTAGGGTAGAAAATAAAACAATTTTCTCACGTTGCAATCATTCTTTTTTCCCAAGATGAACAATTTGAATGCATTTACAAAAATCACAAAAAAATGTACCCCTTTAAATTGTGTTGCTTCGGGCAAATACTTGGGGGCTGTTTTGTCGATTGCCCCTGTTTATTTCTCACACTGAGTGGGGTTGACACCTCGCAGTATAAAGCATTAGTAGGCTATTACCTAGAACACACTGAGTGTATTTGTCAAAGGTTCAGGACTGAGAAATTAACTGATTGCTTAAAGTATTACAGCCTGAAGCATGCTGATCCTGCGGGTGGCTTACGGGCTTCTTAACCCAGATAGAGAGGACGTTTTTTATAAAGACTGCATACTGTGGGCAGAACAACCGTCACATACAGCAACACACGCACATCTCTCATCGTTTGAATACCCAAACCCGTTACACTCAAGTGATTAAATCCATCCGATATGATCTTTATGAAGAATCATGACGTTATAAAATGCACTGTGACAGTCTATGTGTCGGTAATTCCTTACCTGGCAGACAGAGCAGTAGTGGAGGAGGAGGCAGGCACTGACACAGGCACACACAGCCCCGGAGACCAAGCGGGAACGCAGCCAGCCCAAAATACTCCGCACCATCAGCACAGGGTCTCCACGGAAGAGAGCCACCAGGGCTGAGTGCCTCCCTGTCAGCCTGATGTACTTTCACAATCATCTATAACCTTCTTGATCCAGGACCGCCTGTTAGCTCCGAGCTAATGCTCTGTCATGCTCCTGGTTGTTTAGCTTCAGTCAGTCTGTAAACCCTTCCTGTGCACTGGGGCTTGGGTCGCCTGGTAAATAATCCTCCTCTGTTATAATCTTATTTCTCACACTGGCCCCCGTCTGCTTCTCAACAACTTCTTTTTGTAATCCCAATTCAAAAGTTCTCCTATTGCAACATTGTTCCACCTCTCCCTTTCTCTCTAAACACTTTCTCAATATATGTTCTTTGCTGTCCAGCATATTCACAAAGCTGTTCTTTTTTCTACCTTCTACCTGCCCAAACAAGTCCCTCCGTCCCTGAACCTCCACACACAATGAGCTGTCTCCTTCTTGTTACCTTCACACTAACCTTTGTTCTTCTTCTCTCTCTTTCTCATCCCCTAATCCCCACAGGGCCTATCCTGAGCCCCAAACTGAGCTAATCTCCTGACAGGTTCATGGGGGTAGGGACAACAGGCCTTCCCAGAGCCTCCCAGTGCTCTCCTATTGTCTGCATGCCAGATTCCTCGTCACTATGTAACCTACAGAGGTGTGTGTATGTGTAGAAACCTGTCAGACGACTATCATCGGCTACAGGAGTGACTACATGTGTGTACATGGAGAGTGTCTTCAGGTACTGTCAGAGCTCTTTGTGCTCTAAACTACTTCACAACTTTAAAACCACATCCCTTTCCCTTGACTCAAGTCTTTTGAGTTAAAGCAGCTCAGCTGTGGTGCGACACTGAGTGAGCAGAAGATGGCAGGGCTTTAAAAAGAAATATAATCAGATAAATTACTTTTTAACTACTTTAATGATTGTATTTCTTCCCACTGAGATTGTCTGTGTGTCCTCTTCATTGTATGCATGTTAGCGCTTAAACAATCAAAACAATTACTCTTTAGAGATTTTGATGACCAAGTCATTTATCAAGGGACATACCTAACATTAGATAAGCTGGTTATATCTTGAGTTACTTACATTACTCTTTTATCTTATTTTTACTTGGTTGTTGAAAAGAAAATGTCTCTATTGTTTATGGAATAAATTATTAATAATGAACCAAATATCCTGTATTAAAATATATCTTTAATTTGCCCTAATTCTTATCCTAATATGATATGCTATTGTGTGATAAGTATCTTCATAACATCAACTTTTAGATACATGCATGCAAAGTGGGTTTCCAGCTTTGTGACAATGTTTAAGTTTAACATACACGTTTTAAAATGGTATAATTAGATGTATTTCCACTACAAATCAGAAGGAAATACTGTATTCTTAAAAGCACATTCTTCTTAGGTTGAATAACCTTTTCCTTGAATCCAATTTGTTATGCATACATTTTCTTATTAATGTGTTTTTTTACATGTGGCATTGCAGATTTGACTAAAGTTAAGGATCTGAATACTTTCTCCACCACTGACTGTTAACATTGCCAAGCTGTAAAAATACTGTAATCTTTGTTTGTATGGTGGATGTTGTGTGTATGTGCTGTGGGAGTAAAGTGTGGGACTTTGTTAAATGTGTGCCATGGAAAACAAGTCTGTGATTGTGGCTCATGTGAATAAGCATGCATAAATAAGAATGATACTCCCGTGTAGGCTACATGTTCAAAGTTTCAGTGTCTTTTCTTGTCTTTTCGTCAGCTTACACTCATTTTCCTTTTGTTTTCGGTTCCACTATATGTCTCATGGGGCAAAATAGTAAGGGGAGAGAAAGAGTGTGTCATAATGTTGGAAATAAATTATAAAATAATATGTGCATGGCTGGCAGACATTTGTAGGAATGTGCATCTAATAACATTGAATCGTCGGGGACAGAGTAGATACTGTCTGTGTGAGAAAGAGAACAAGACAAGGAGAGAGAAAAAAAGTACCATATATGGCAATGATGTCGCCTAGCAACCGGCTCTGCCTTCTGCCCAATTTTCCATGACACACGCTGACAGGCTGTGAATGCAACACAGCATCGCTGTATGTGTGCATCTCTCTGCATGTTTGAGCAAGTATCTGCTCCCTTTAGCGAGCTTACGAAATGTAACTGGTTTGTCTGGGAGCTGACAGCGTGGCCACAGCCTTTTAAAACCCAGCACACACCCTCCTTCTCTTAATTAGCCTACTGTATGACCGACTACAAAGCTTTTACACAACTTCGAGAGGACAGAATGTGCCCATTAAAACACAGACCTTATCAAAAACCACAGGCCAGCGCCGTCACGTTTGTTACGACAGCTCAAGTGCAACTCTTAAGGTTGCTCATTTCCTGGATGTCAGAGCTGGGAAACTACTCTGTGTCCACTGACCTGCTGGTACAAATGATCATTACTGTTACTGGCAGCCAATCCCTGTGTTTGTCATGTGGAAGAATGTGACGGCTAAAGACTCCCATGATTTAACTCAAGAGTAGAGGGCACTCGGAAAGCCCAGGTCTCCGCCAAGACCAATTTTCCTCATGCAATATTAACGTAATTGAAAAAAGTATTTCTGTATCCACCCCGTGATTCTGACCCACTAAAAATATGAATAGGTTTTTCCTTGGCCTATGTTTCACGCTTCCAACAAGTTTCATATTATTTGGGCCAGTCGTTTTTCCATAATTATGCTGAAAACAAGCCAAGATAACCAAAATGGGTAATGAGAGTCATCCAGGAGAGGCATCAAGAATGCTATATTGAGAGTTGGATTATTATGGTTAAGACACTAGCTGTATCAATTATACACTTTGGTTTCAGCTTCTTTAATGCAATTTGCATTGCATCTCTGATGATAATGTAAAAAATAAAATTGAAATGGACCAGGAGTCCCTTTAAATAAAGCTGATGATGATGATAAACGTTGTAAACTGTAAGTCTTTGTGTGCTGCTGTAAGCATAGGACAATGATAAGGCCAAAATCATTGTTGATCAAAAATGATTCATGTTTAATTTATGTTTTCAATTATATAACTAAGCCTACATGATACGAGGTAAATACTGCTAAGCTTGTTTGTGTTTATTGCTAGAATTGCGTTTTTTATTGATAATGTATGTGCTATATTTATTGTTTGCCTAAATGTTTTTTTCATCTAGCTATAAGGGACTACAGTAACGCTTGAACATATTGAGTAATGTTGATCAAAGTTCACTATCACTTTAAAAGTTAGTATAATATACATTTGAAATCCAAACAAATGTGTATACAAAGGATTGCCCGCTGTGTTTGTATGTATTGTAGTGTTCACTTGAGCAGACTAGTACACGATACACAGTATGCATCCCCTTAATAAGACAGTTAAATGTCTTTAACTGGAAGCAAATTTCCACCTCACAATGTAAATAAAGGCAGCAGCGTTTGATGCCAGATAAAGCCTAGTTTGTAAGGTACCAGCAATGAAAATATGTAAAATTGGAGTTTTCAATGGAATTGAAAACAATTCAATCCCATTTTCCTCTGCGTCATGTCTGTCTCACCCTCTGGAAAAAAGAAATAAAATACCAGGCAAGACAGGACTGTATACTGTGTAAAAATAACTGCAGCTTGATTATTAAAATATACACAATACATAGCTCGTGCCAGGGTTCTCGTTTGGAGCATCGCAATATGAATGGCATGCTGACAGTTGAACATCTTTCAACATTCATGCTTGGTGATGTGGCCTGAACGGAAAACCTGGACATTCAGGATTCACACACTTGAGAGACGACAAGTGGCAACATCCTGTTTTCAAGACAAGTCTCATTCCAAGCATTACTAGTCGACACAGTGCGTAAAAAGCTTGCTGACTCAGGGGGGAAGCATCCCGTGTTTCTACTTGGAAACTTTAAACTGCATCTCACATATAGACGAGAGGAAAACTCAAAGCCTATGTGCCAGTAAACTAACTTCTAGAATGCTGTCATAGCATCTATGACTGTACTGTACTGGGCTGAAGTGGCAGCTGTGATGGGATGACACATTATTAGAACGAGCATCCAGCCATTGTTTAAATGGCCCTGCATCTGAGCCATGTGATCATGAGCCATGGGAGAGAAGGGACAGGCGTGGGGGTGTGAGATAAGAGGCAGTTTGTTATAGTTGTGATTCATTATCAAGGTGGTGTAAATTCAACCGTGAAGGCAAACAAAAAGCTATTGTTATTATATTTGCACTGACGTTTCCTCAGTTATTTAAAACAAACAAGAGATCCAGCCAAAACGACATGAGAGCCCTCACATTTTTACTGAGAACCTTCCGATTGACTGGAGCCTGATTTACATTACATTGATATGACATAGTTAACGCTTCAGCCTGGTGACAGCAGTGATGACATCTTGCAGCCTAAGAAAGTGGCTGTCATCGTGCATGTGCATTCAAGTACAACAGCTACTGTATGCAACAGTAAATAAGGAAATGCGTGTATGTTTTCATGCTTGTATGCTGCATGTGTCCTGTAAACAGTGAGTTATGCTGAGTATGTCCATGTGCACATGTTAACATAACATCCATTACATTGTTTTCTAAAACCAGTTATTTTGTGGCTGTATAGCATGGTTTTGGCTCAGTTGAGGCCACATGCATGCCTGACATTTCAATTGCCTAATCTCTGCATACATGTATTTTATTTTTGGAAGCCAAAGCTGAAAGACCTGTTCATGATTTTATGTAGAATGTTACAGCTTCTCATGCTTAGCCTAAGGTTTTTCTGATTTGCAAAAGAGTGAGAAGTAACCATAGGCTGTATGGAAGTAACTCACCCCTGAGCCATCGTCCGGGCTGCACATGGACCGGGCCGGAGACAGGCTGGACTCGAAGTCGCTCCCAGTGAAGTCGTCCTCGGACTCCTCGAAGGACGAGGCTGAGGACAGGCCGATGGAGGAGGAGTTGGACAGCTTCCTCGGTGACCGCATCAGGGCAGGGGACCCTCCGCAGCCACTGTCCGAGCAGGGGGACTCGTCATCCGGCTGAGGCTCCAGACACGAGCCGGGGGTCAGCAGGGTCGGTGTCTCCAGGGGGCGGGTCGGGCTGGGGTCTCTGGTGATGATAAGTGTCGGTATAGTTCCTTGGAAACCTCCTGGGGGATTCTGAAGGGCCTTGTCAGAATCCTTCAAGGTCTCACGTTCCCCGCTGGGATCGGGCCGACCTGACACGCTGCTGCAGTCACTTTTTGTCATTTTAGCCTCAACGTGATCCTCCGGTATCGATAGCCCACTGTCCAAAGGTTGATCCGGGGAAGTCCTCTCAGTGTCCGTGTCAGAGGTGAGCAGCGGGGCTGAACTCACACTACTAGCCCCCGTTAATTCCCGAGCCTCACACACAATACCACCCAGGTTGTTTCCCCACGGTGGCTGATCTTCCATGGCCCTCGTCGGGGCATCCGAGGCATTGTACTCTCGCTCGGATTTCGGCTCCTCGACTTCACCGGTCCGAGTTTCCAAACCTGACGCATCTGATGATCCGTCTTCTCGGTTCACGGCGTTTTGGATAGCCTCTACATGACCATCCAATCCGGATGGAGCCTCAAAACAACCCGCGGAAGCTCGGTGTTCCCTAGCCGCCGACACTACCTCGTCCCTCGGCAACTTTCCTACTCTGTGATCGCGGCGCGTTGCTGGATCTCCAGCTGCGTTTCCGCAAGGTAAATCCGCGTCAGTTTGGCTGGAGTCTCGCTTTCTCCTTCCCAGACACGATAACACATTATTTTTCATTGGGTTTTTGTTCAGTTGGTACTCCCGTCGCTTCTGCCCGCTCCTAAATGTGCAGATACGGAGGCGCTGGGCTGTTTCGCCTGCTTTCCACTTCGCTCTGCCTGGGCTGGCGCTGCTGCTGTGCGAGAGATCCGAGCGAGTTTGTCCCATCCTGCATGCCGTAGTAGTAACAGTGACCCAGACACACCCTCAGTGGTTTAATTTGAAATCACCAACTGTAACTCCCTCAATGTACCCATTAGTCACACAAAGCCGTGGACATCCTAAATTGCTCCATTTTATTTTCCAAGGCGGAAAATCTGTGAGAACAAACAGACAGATGACCAATGATTTAGTGAACACAATAACTGCATGAGCAATACAATAAAAAACGAAACACTCCCATTTATATTAAGTCTAACAATCAGACTGATAATGTAATCATTAATAGCCCATATAAAAACACCTGCATATGTCAGAGGGCCACAGTTACACTGGCTGTTGTTAATCACAGTTCCTGGCAATTCATATGTGATTTATAATTTCTGGTATTCAGAAATTAGTAGGCTGCACGACAAAGAAAGTGACAGAAGGAAAGTCAGATGATATGCACTGAAAATATATGACAGTAGAAGTTATTTAAATATTCCAGAACAACAGTTGATTGCAAAGAAATGTAAAGTTTCAATGAGTTTCATGCTCAATACTGGTAAGAGAGTAATACTGCCCTCCTGTGCCTGGACACTGTGCTCTTGTCTATTAAACTTGTATTATCTTAAGCATTTTCATTTAGACCTTAATGGTTATGTGTAAAGTATTGTTTTACTTAACAGATGTAACGCTGTATATTAGTATGATTTTCATAGATGAATGTATTAATCGATGAATCATTGGTGAAGAAGATGACAGGAAATATGTCTCGTTTTACAAAATCCAAAGTAAACTTCAAGTTGTTTAATGTATGTGACCCACAGTATAAACCCACTGTGGGTCACATTCAATGTACAGAGATATTTTTAAAAAGAAAATAAAATCCTTATAATTTAAACACTTGAACCAGCAAATGTCTGGTAATGTTTGCTTTTAAATAACTTCGATCACAACTAAGTCATTAAACAATGCTGAGATGTCCAAACACAGAAAATACAATTTGTATGTGGGCTTCACTGTTTGGCCTTAATTGATCATGAAATATAGTTGGTAAAATTGAAAACTGTAAGGTGAATAATACACTCCTGTATGCATCATACATTCCAGCCTACTGATAGCCCCCATTTTAGATTTCTGGAAAGACACGTTTCATAATTTCCTAAGACAAGACAGAATCCTGGAAATATTTAAATATCATTACACAAGATGCAGTGAGCCACTGGGAGAGATTTTCTGTAATTTACTGTGACAACACTGCAGTCACCCTGATGTAAGGAGGGAATGCTCACAGAGGGGAAACAAGACAGGAAGGATCACAATGGAAAGAACAACTCATGGTGAACATCCCCCACACCAACTCACACATTCAAGTACATTTGAGGACATTCGTAATCAAAATCATAAATAATCATACATGATGACTCACACCATGGGGAATGACTGACATGCTTGAACCAAGGTAGCATTGAATAGATTCTTTTAATCACAAGATTACACACACTTCCACCCATCAACCCATCGACATACCGTGACTCATAGTGATCATATCTGGGCAAACATATTATAAAACACTAAAATGTACAGCAAAGTTAAATCCACTCACCACACAACAGTATCACCATATACTCCATGGACTATTCATACATATATTGAATCTGATGCAACCACAACGTTTATAATGTTCAGTTTCTGTTGACATTGTTGGGAATATCACTAATCACAGAAGTCCAGTGCAACAACAACACTTAGTCTGACCGATTACATAAAGATTACAAAAATATGACTTGATGCTATCATAATTGAATTGCCAGTTATACGACAACTGAACAGAATCCTAAAGTAACCCTTATTAAAGAACAGTTGTATTGAATTGTACAAGTGTACATGGAGAGGAAAATTAATGTATATACTTATTAAAATAATCTATTTATTCGCCATTAGTTGTTTAATCTGAAGGACACACTTCATGGAAACGGTGTAAAACTTGCTTAAATTGCTCTAAAATTAAATATTCTAGGAAATAACAGACACTTTGTATTTAGTGGTTTCATAAGGAAGACACATAATAATTGTTTTAAATGTAATATTTGACAAATTGTGGACAGAAACGAAATGTAGGTTTATTTTTTCTTCGTGTATTTTGAGTAAATGTATTGGTGGCAATACAGTCACAGTACAACATACATGACTTCCTCAAGCTGACTTCTAACGGGTGTAATATATTTTTAAACAAACTACGTTTATGTCAAATTAAAAAACAATTACAAGTGACTTTGGATACCGTTAAAATCCGCATCATACATATACAACTATTTATAATATCAAACACAACTTACCAGGCTGATCCTGAGTTTCTCTGTGTGAAGCAGAGTGTTAAAGGGTTGAGAGACGTGGAGCTTTATAACGCTTATTCAGGGTGTATAGGGGGTGTGATGTGTGGTGTGTGATGTGTGATGATATGATGTGTGATGTGTGTGTATGTGCGTGTGTGTGCATTTAGTGTAGTAGCAGCAGCATGTGGTTGACGTGAAAGAGGAAACGCTTGTCTAAACAGGGTCAGGTTTGACGAGCGTTCTATAACTAAAGGATGAGGTTATATAATACGCGAAACTATCCTTAAAAACACAGTTTAAAGACAGATCAGACCAATTGAAATTGTATATAACCAAAGTGCGATGTAATAGTTTAATTTATTGTCAAAACGTTTCAAAACAAAAGCACTAAAGATCGACATGTCAAGAGGGTTTAAAAATGCTGCTTTCATATGTCCCCCTGAATTTCTGGCTCTAAATGCTTACACCTTTCTTCTATTTGCAAGTTCTTTTCGTAGTCCTTTATTCATTATAATAAACATATCTTATATTTTTAAGTGCAATTAAAAACACATCTACTTCAATAAACGGGTATTTTTCTCTGCCAAATCATCTCTCATGTACAAAAGGGAACACGTCATGTTGCTGGTCTCGATCTGTTTAGAGTTCTCTGATAGCACTTGAAAGCAGCATAGGCCTTTTTATCTATGCACGTTTTATCGGTCATTTTCTGGAGTTTTTGCTTTTATGTCATACGTCAATACAGTCACAAACAAATACAAATATGTCTCACAATTTATCTTTTAAATGTACTCTTTTACCTTGTGACATTCGTTATTTAATTGTTTCCAAGAAACGCAATTGGATATTTTTTGGCAGGTCTGAGTTTCCGTAGAAGCAGGAAGTAGCGTTTCACAACCATCGGGGCTCCGGCGTGACATTCACCGGGTTGTCAGAGTCAGGGTTAAGAACAGGGGTAAAACGACCACCCTGCACTCAAACTATAAGTTATCAAAATGAGAGTTCTACAGGCGGGTCTGTCTTTGGCTAAATCTCATCTCCTGGCTCCAGGAAGCGTCACTCTGAAAAAGGTAACATTAACTGTCTGCAGCTGAACCTGAACCCATTTGACACCAAACCTCCATCAGCCCTGTGCCTTTCACAATCGGTCAACAGACAGACAGGGATTTGAATATTGTTTTTCATGTCCTCAGGTGCTCATCAACAGCTGTCGGACATGCTCCTCCGGGTTCTATCTTAATGAGAGTATCCGCAACATCGGGATCTCGGCTCACATCGACTCCGGGAAGACCACCCTGACCGAGCGCGTCCTCTTCTACACCGGCAGGATAGCAGAGATCCACGAGGTGAGTGTGGCTGTGCATTAGGATTAAAACCACCTTTAATAGCCAAATAGTTGTGCACATACAAGGAATTTGACTTTTTGCGCATTGCTCTCGAAGTACATGCATATAGGTAGACATAAAGGCGAGAAACAAGGACAACACAGCTGGAAAAATACATCAAGAATAGACAGGACTGATATGTACACAAGTATGTGAAAAAAGCAACTGTATATCGATAATTACTATATAAAGCATCAATGACCAACTACAATGGTTTGGTCTGTTGATCTGCAGAAAAGTAATCAGCCACCTTCGTTATTAATTTTTCATGTGTACATTTAAGGGCAGCATTTAAAATATGTAGGTTTCCTGCTTTTCTCTGTTTATTATCAAATGACACTGGATAGCTTTGGGTTCAGGCCTTACAAAACAAATCATTCAAATATATCACTTTGGACTGAAAGAAACTGGAGAGATTTATTTTCATTTATAGACCAAATGATTAATCGAGAAAACATTATGGGGAGATGATTTGATTTGCAGGCAGCCTCGAATAGATCTCTATATACATTAAGCTTGTAGGATTTAGAAGATGATAGTTCATCAGAGTGACAGACAGGGAGAAGACACTCTTTTGTTTTGGTGTACAGCGTTCCAATGGTCTACACTACAGTTATCAGCATTAGTAGTCTTATGAATCAGTTGTTGCTTTCAGGTGAGGTTAACAGGTGTACAGTTTGAATCTTTCATGGTCTGTTTTCCTCCCCTGGATTGTGTAGGTGAAGGGGAAGGATGGTGTGGGAGCCACTATGGACTCTATGGAGCTGGAGAGGCAGAGAGGCATCACCATCCAGTCAGCTGCTACATATACTGTGTGGAAGGATCACAACATCAACATCATTGATACACCAGGTACTAAATGTTCTTGGGGACAACATGTTTGCATATGACTTCTGATTTAGGTTTTGTTTTAACTAAAGGTCACTGTCTGTTGTTTCTCCAGGTCACGTGGACTTTACCATTGAGGTGGAGCGAGCACTGCGCGTGCTGGACGGTGCTGTGCTGGTCCTGTGTGCGGTGGGGGGAGTCCAGTGTCAGACTATGACAGTGAACAGGCAGATGAAACGCTACAACGTCCCCTTCCTCACCTTCATCAACAAGCTGGACCGCATGGGCGCCAACCCCAACCGAGCCCTGCTGCAGATGAGGTACAGTATTTATCAAATCACAAGTGATAACGTAACAATAGATACTCTATTAAAAGAACAATATCGTCTAACCATTCGTCAAATGAGTAAGTGTGCTAAACTGTTGGATAGATGTCGATAACTAGTGTTTAATTCAGTCTAAAGACAGACAAGGGTTTTGTTAATGTATAATACAGATTGTAAACCAGGAAATCACGATGATAAAAAATCCTGCTTTCGAATGTTTTTCCTGAGATTTTGCTAATAGTAATAGTTTTAATATACTGAGAAATAGACCTGGATGCAAGAAAATTAGAAGTAAGGATTGATTCAGACTCATGCAGATGTGTTTTTATGGTGCCCACTAGGGCTGCCCCAGTGCTCCTAATAGTCAACTAATCGCTAGTCGACTATTAAGGTCTTAGTCGAGCAATTGTTCATTAGTCGATTAGTTGAAAAAGAAAAAAAAAAGATTTACAACAAAAAAAAACACGTGACTGCTGCGTTCCCTGTGTTGAATCAGACGGAGCTGTGCCAACTTGTTATTGGACTAATTATGTCAGGGAGGAAATGCAAAATGTGGGAGCACTTTGAGCATCACAAGGATGAACCCAAGAAAGTTATTTGCAAACTCTGCAGGCAAAAGTTTCCCTATTATTCGTCGACTTCAAATATGACGTATCACCTTAAGCATGTAAGTACTAGCCTAGCTTAGCCTAGCCACGATGACATAAGTTGTGTTTTGATGTCTGTGTTGTGTATGCGACGATTAGTCGACTAATACAATTGATGACTATTGGTCGACTAGAAAAATCTTTAGTCGAGGGCAGCCCTAGTGCACACAGAAACAAGCTTAAGTCTTTCATTTAGGCTTGATTAGACATGAAATCATCATTCTATAAGCAATGTTGTTTTCAGCCTCTGGTTTTGTTCCTGTAGTTATGATCTGAAGCATATTTATTTTCCTTCCTCAGAACCAAACTGAACCATAACGCAGCCTATGTGAACATCCCAATGGGCCTGGAAGGGAACATACGCGGCATCATCGACCTGGTAGAGGATAGGAGCATATATTTTGAAGGACCTTTTGGGTGAGGGTCTCCCCTTATTGCTACTTGACCTTCAAGATATCTGTTTCTGTTATAGTATGAATTGAATATTTGTATGTAACTTTAGCATTAGAATTCGATTGTAGCACATATGAGTGATTGAAAATCCTTTGCTACAGAACTATAATACCTACAGTGACAAATCATTCAAATCATTATCCGTCAGGTTACAAGTGTTTCTTCCTCCCTGCAGTCAAGATATCCGCTATGATGAGATCCCGGCAGATTTCCGCGCTGAGGCTGCAGACCGGCGGCAGGAGCTGGTGGAGTGCGTGGCTGACGCTGATGAAATCTTGGGAGAGATGTACTTGGAGGAAAAGCCTCTAACAAATAGCGACCTGAAGGTTTGTCTCCTATAAAGAGAACGAATGTGTGAATGAATGAAAGCTTAACCTGGGCCCTAGAGTTTTCTGATAAACTGCTTGTTTTTGAATGAAAACCTTGAACCAGATGAATCTATCTATATCAATCTTGTCGCCATATGGTGGCACTAGTTGAACATTTTGAAAATCATTTTACCACATTTTATGGCAGCCATTTGAAAATTGTAAAGGCCTTTTTATATAAAAAAAAACACAAATGTCAACCTAATTAAAAACTCAAACGTTTATCCATGCTGCAGCTTCTGAGATATATTAGTTTGGACCAAGTTGTGGAGCGAGCCTTGCTCATAAAACACAAGCCTTTTTTCAAATCATTTTCTTAATTTAAACTCCATCAGAAATTCCTCTCATTGCATACCTAAGTTGTGACATTAACGCTATGTGTGCATGAAGAAGGAAAGCAGTCTTGTTGCCCCGCTCTCAGACTCTTGTCTCTTCTCTGTGTTGCAGGCTGCGATCCGCAGGGCCACCCTGCAGCGCCTCTTCACTCCGGTGCTGGTCGGCACCGCATTGAAGAACAAAGGCGTCCAAGCTCTACTAGACGCTGTCCTGGATTACATGCCAAACCCCACTGAAGTAAAAAACTATGCCAACTTCAATGATGAGTGAGTATTGATCAGGGTAGTAAATGTGTATGGAAAGTTGCCCTTAAAAGTCTCCTATCATGCAAAATGCACTTTTTTATGTCTTTTATACATAAACATGGGTCCTCTGTGTGTCAGAAACGGACAACGGAGCTGATCCAGATTTGCATCTGATATGACGTAATATCGGAAACGTGGGCTGGCTTTACACCCACGGCCCTATCAGAAACGTTGCTATCAGAAACAATGCGCAACGTTTTGGAAGTAATATGGTTTGTTTACATGAGCAAGCATTGCTAACACTCAGAGCTAACGCTGTACTGGAGAGAGTATGTGTAAAGAAACAGGATATAAAAAGGAACTCACCTTGTGGTAAACCGGCAAGAGAAAAAGCCTTTGAGCTCCATACTGTTTCAGAAATAATCCTTGATATGGTTTGGAACATAAAATGGCGTTTAATCACGGCAGGGTTTAGCTGAGTATCTGGGTACAATTCTCCTGCATGAGCTCTCGTCTCGGCTCTTCTTTTTTCTTTATAAAGCTATGGACCCAGAGTCAGCACTTCTCTAACAGGGCTGAAATAGAGGGGTATGAGGTATGGCTAGAATGGGGGATCTGTTTGGTATTTTGAGCAAAACACTTCATAGACATGTTTTTTATATATCTGAGACCTATAATATATGCCTACAAATAGTATAATAGGAGACCTTTAATAGTGACACTATATTCAATTCAATTAATATTAGATACAATTTTTCTGTAGATCTTTAAAATGTGTTTTGAGAAATCTTGACATCAGTTGGTTTCCATTGTCTTAGTGTTGCCGATGAAACAACAAAGATGGAAATGGACCCTACAAGAGACTCTACGAACCCCTTTGTTGCTCTGGCCTTCAAACTGGAGGTCAGTTACTAGCCTTAATCTTTTATATCTGCAATATTGCTTTACAGGAACATTCAAACATGTCATACTTTGTTGTTTCCTGTTGTTCACACTATCAGGCGGGCAGGTTCGGCCAGCTGACATATGTGCGGGTGTACCAGGGCTGCCTGAAGAAGGGAGAGCACATCTATAACACACGCACTAACAAGAGAGTCAGAGTTCAGAGGCTAGTGCGTCTCCACGCCGACCAGATGGAGGTGAGTAGAAGCCTGCGCACGTCAGCAGGCTCTCCGAGGTCACCATTTTCCAGTTCAAACAGCAGAGAAACATGACTGGTCAAAATGCTCAGGTTCCTCATTTGGCACCACTCAAGTGGAAATATAAAAACCACATCCCCTGTGACACCAGAGTTTCCATCTCGTAGCATCAAAACAAGAAATTAATGTGATAAATATTCGCTCCTATAATAATCACTCAGACTTCCGTTATTAATAACACCGCTTTTGAATCAACCTATTTCTGTATTTTTACATTTGTTTTCTTTCTCTCCAGGACGTGGAGGAGGTTTATGCTGGAGATATTTCTGCTCTGTTTGGGATTGACTGTGCCAGTGGAGACACTTTTACATCCAAGGCTGGTGCTAACCTCTCCATGGTGAGCAACTTCAATGTTATTATATTCGAATGACAAATACATTTTTTCTTAATTTTGTTCCCCTTTTTTATTTCATGATGTAAAGAATCTTGTGCTTAATTTGTCATCATTTCTGACCCACAGGAATCTATCCATGTCCCAGAGCCTGTCATTTCCATGTCAATAAAACCAAATAACAAGGTAAACACTGCTTTGATTGACTCGTACTGTATTCAAAGTCTAAATCACATGTCTTAACTCTTCTCTCTTTATCCTGCTCCTAACCAGATTGACCTGGATAAATTCTCCAAAGGTATGGGTCGTTTCACCAGGGAAGATCCGACGTTTCGAGTGTATTATGACGTGGAGAGCAGAGAAACCATCATCTCAGGAATGGGCGAGCTTCATCTGGAAATCTACTCCCAGGTACCCAATATGAACAATATTCTGCATCTTTAATACAAGATATATGCATTAAATAGGACACATTAACTGATTGGTTTTGATTGGTGTAAACATATATGGGTGAAAAATCCATGCATTTGCAAATATGACTGCTTTTAGAACTATTTCTCCCCGGGCGCCGTTCAAAATGGCAGCACACTGCTCCTAACACAGGATGGGTCAAATGCAGAGAAACAATTTCCCCACGGGAAATATAAAGTAAAATATAAAGTATATCAAATCATTTCCCCCAATTCGTAATCTCAACTGTAGTTGATGATTCTTCTGACTTGATTTTTAGAGATAGCTCTAGTGTAGGCCCCCAAAGTAAACCCAACTAAAGATGAAATGGATTGATCAGTCCCCTCATTTAAAAGATGTCTTCATGTTTAAGGTTTCCCTTTTTAAACTGCAGATATTTGACCTGGTATTCTGTTGGTTTATTCTTGTTTTGCTTTTTCAGAGGATGGAGAGGGAATACAGCTGTCCCTGTGTGATGGGAAAACCCAAAGTGGCTTTCAGAGAGACGATCAGTGGTCCTGTACAGTAAGTGCTCTCTCGTACACACACTAGTCTGTATACAGTTTATTTTGGCTAAAATCAAAGCAACCAAAATGACTGCTAAGGTAGCAGAATGTTATAATGTCATCATTATATATGATGGCTTTTTATTTGCAGCATTTCATCTCCAATATTTGAGTACAAGAGAGGAGGGTCAGGATGTGGTTTTTGTTGTGGCAGCAGTGTGATGAATGTCAGCAGTTCAGTTTGTGTTTGGAGGTTTTTCACAATGATGGCAGTGTGGCAGCTGCTCCATCTGCTGCACTTTAACGCCCTCTGGAGGAGACCATGTGAACAGCAGCTTCCAGTGAATGATTTCCTGCCAAATAACACGGATTGTCAGATTAACAGGAGATTTCATGCACTGAAAGCTTAAATACTGCACATATTTGGCACGAGAGAAGTTATATTGCTCCAGATTAGGGATTTACTGCTCTAGTCTTCTTGTTTTGTGGTACTATATCACACATTTCTTCTTGTCAACTGGTACATACCAGACTTGCTTACTCTCAAATTCATCCAGTCCTGAGTTTATAAACTGATATATCAACCACTTATTCTGATAAACATTCACAATGTTAGTTATTTGTCAAGGAAAAATATAATATGCCTAGTTTTTTGACGTAGTTATTGTAGCCATCGACAGTCATTTTACCGACAGTCAAGATTTGCGTAGAGTGATGGTAAACATTATTGTAGGTTTTATTATTAAGAATATTATAATAAGTGGTTACCTGGGACACCATCTCATGCAGCAGTACATGACAGTCAAACTTCAGCTGGTCGTTCTCAGTTGCCTGCAGCAGAAACAAATAAAATAAAGGAAAATGTTGACGTTTTAAAAATAAAACATTCTCGAATCACATCAGCTTTCTTTCAGCTGAATGATAATCATAATAATAATAATTATACGCTTAATGTATATAGCACCTTTCAAGCAAGATGCAGCCCAAAGTGCTTTACAGAGTAAGACAAGCTACAAAATAAGAGTGAGGAACATAATTGAAAACGAGTTATAAACAAACAGAGTTATATTATAGAACCATAAAACCTGAACAGTGATGCAACTAAAATTACCCCAAAAAAAACAAAAAACAATGGAGTTTGCTGTTTGTTCTAAGACTATTAAGGTCTATGATCGAAACAATGACTGATAATACAAAGAGTCTGAATAACATACATGTTACAAAAACGGACGAAACAAACCTACCAGCTGTGTGATGTTGGCCACCTGAGCCATGTTGTACAGAGTGTTCTCACTGGACTCATTCAGCATGATGAAGCTGGAGGCCACGATGCAGAGGTGCCAGAAAGGCTTCATGTCGGGATCAATGTGACCGTAGCTGTCTGTTGGTCACAATGTGGTGTGTTAGGAAACAAGTTAATTTGCACGTGGTTAAGCCTTGTCACTACCAATTATGCAAAGATAAATTGATTAGTTGTCAACTTTTTTTAATTGAGGTTAACATGTTGGGCCTTGGGAAATATTGATGGACATTAACAAAAAATCGATTAACCAAGAAAATACTTGACAGACTGATTGCTATGGAAAATAACACACTGCGTTGGCTTATAATGTACTGGAGGTCACACCATTGAGGATCAGAATGTCAGCCATTTGTGTCGTGTTAGTATTTTTGAGAGGAACAATGAGTTCACTCAAAAACGTAGTGTTGAAATCCACAAATGCTTCACGTGCACACTGCCCATGTTGTGCAATGCATGGCTTTGTGCATTGATCAGGAGCTAAATCAAGCAGTGTTTGTTTTCTTACCAGGTAAATTGTGTGCCGATAAAAGGCTCTGGGTCATCTTGTACTGTTGGTACAAGGCCTCTTCTTGAGCTGTGGTTTTGATTTTAAGGAGCTCCTCACACGAGGCCTGGACCTGAGGAGAGCGCTGCTGCCCCCCCCCTCGGAAACAAAACCTCTGCAGAGCATTTCTCTGTCGTCTGGGGGGAGTTTACAGAGAGGGGATGGTTAAAATAAAGAAGGATATAATAGAAAGGAAGGTTTGATAAGAGAGAGGAGAGGGAAGTATACAGAGCAAAGGCGTAGTCCAGATGTTACCATGGCAGCTGGTGAGTCAGTGTTGCACCACACTGCCTCCTTTTATCTGCTGTTTCGTTAAAGCTTGTCTGACCTGCTCGCTCTAAAGCCAGGGATTATTAACTTTAAACACAAATGTAGCCTAAGACTAGCTTCAAATATATTTTCATTGTTTTGTGTATGGAAAATCACAACTGAAACCTTTTTAAGGTAAATGCAGCGAGTTAAACATAGTGTGTCTTCACAGACAAACTAAAGGAGGGGGAGTGGTCAAAGCTTTCGACACAGAATTAGTCATTTTAGATTTTTACGGGTACTTTTAAATAACGTACAGGTAGAATTGACAGTCATTTTATTTTCGTTAAGGGCACTGTCCCTGTGAAATATAATAAAACAAATTCAAAAAGCTGCCCCATATGTTAAAAAAGCTACTCTTAATTCAAGAACACATGGCTGTATGTAATCCACACGCTTTTTACAGTAAATCACATCTTACATTGCTGATTATCTCCTGCACTGAGATCTCCAGCTGATACTTTCTTCCAGAGTCTTCAACATCCTAAAAGCCAAGTCAGAAATAACCACAGTTAGTAAGAGAAACAACGTCACTGTAAGGTAAACTGTAAGCGTTAAACTTTGGCTGACCTCTGCATTTCCGCTGTGGACTCTGTGCAGTCCTAGCAGCCGGTATGGGGAGCCGTATCGAGTGTTGAGGTAGTGTTGGACCACTTTGGCTGCTCTCTGCGCCTGGTAGTGATTGGGGTTCAGCTCTCCTGTCGCCATCACATCCTCGTCTGCCTCCTCTTCCACCAATATGTCCAGCTGTTAACCCAGAGAGAAGAGAGCGCAGACAGTGAGAGAGGAAATAAGAAAAATACCGTTTTCAAAGAGGGATGGGCTTCTAAGGACTTTGACCCTCGGTTGTCAGCAGGGAGAAGCTTTTGTCTTCAGCTTCAGGCACAAGGAACACCTCCATTGGGAAAAAAGTGGAAAGCAAATACATAAAAAGAACAATAGAGTGTACAGCTGAAAACGTGTTTTAAATAAGCTAGTCTGATCTTGCCTGTAACTGAAACGCTGGAACTTCTCTGCCTGTTAGTTTGACAGGTGGAAACTTGTATGTGTCCGCTGCTCTGTGTGTAGATTGGCGAGATTACTTCCCACTTCCTCCTTCAGAGCTCTTGGACTTCCCCCTTTTTTTTTTTTTTAAAGAGACGGAGCTCTTTTCTTTTGTTTCCTCTCATTTTCTCTTCTCTCTATTGAATCAGCTTTATAACAGAAATGCAACCGTGGATCAGTAACATCTGTTGCTCCAGTGTTTGAGCTGCTATTCAAATTTTAAATGAGATTTCCGTGATAGATTAGCAAGGTGTTTGATATATTTGTATGTGACATGATCCCAAGTGTATCAGTGCCAACACTGATATCTGATATGTTTCACTAATATTGGTCTAATACTAGTAACTGTAGTCTAATGACAAATGGAGGTGCAGAACTTAGTGAGTCTTCTTGTAACTTTGTATTTAACAATAACATTTTATTTTTTTGTGTTAAATGGCTCCGAAAGAAATCATAAAAATAGTGTATTTTTACATTGCTTATGTATTACAGAAAGATATCTCATACACACACAGGAAAGAAACAAGATCTAGATTTCCCTGTCTTCACTAAACCAATATATGGTTAATATTTGAGTTGACTATTGAGTATCATCTTTTTCAGTTACAGTCTTCAGCCATCCATCTTGTGTTGGTGGTTCTGTCTTGTACCATATGTCATCTCTTACTGTACTGCCATATTTAAAAGTACAGTACCATACATGACCTAGCTATATCCAAAATGTATTAAATAATAGTGCACTACTATTTGTAATACTAGTGTATGTAGTACAGCAAACATTAATATCCATCTAAGAAATAAAATAATGTGGGATTTGTTTTTGAATTCTGTACTTATTTGTGCTCTTCTTTCTTTCCCTGCAGGTTTGACTTCCTTCACAAGAAGCAGAGCGGCGGCTCGGGGCAGTACGGTAAAGTTATCGGATACATTGAGCCTCTTGATGGCGAGCATCAGACCGGCCTGGAGTTTGAAGACCTGACTGTTGGAACCAACATCCCGAAGCAGTTTGTACCAGCTGTCGAAAAGGTTTGTTTCCCAAACTTTTAAAGTAGAAAAAAAGCTACAAAGGTTACTTGAACTCTAAGCTAAAGACAAGCTCTTGTTTTTCTGTAATTAATTGTTTCTTCCCATCATGCTGCAGGGCTTCAGGGAGGCCTGTGAGAAGGGACCCCTGAGCGGGCACAAGATCTCAGGACTGAAGTTCGTCCTGGAGGATGGAGCGCATCACTTGGTGGACTCCTGTGAGATGTCCTTCATCCGTGCAGGGGAGGGTGCTCTAAAACAAGGTGAGGGCCTGACCTCCTGTTTCACGTCTGTTGTTGTCAGCGGTTGTTAATGCAATGCGTTCTCCTCAGCGATGGAGAGAGCCAGCACGGCCATCCTGGAGCCCATCATGTCTGTGGAGATCGTAGCTCCTGTGGAGTTTCAGGGAGCGGTCATCGCTGGTGTAACCCGCCGGCATGGAGTCATCTCCGAACACGACGGGACGGAGGAATACATCACCCTGTCCGCTGACGTGAGTCCAGTTTGTGAATGACTCACATCCAGCATGCATCTGCAGTATTCAGCTTTCATTTGTTGTCTCTTATGCTCCTCCATCCTTGGTATTTGACGAGTTTACAAACTCTTCCCAACAGATTCCACTTAACAACATGTTCGGATACGCCACAGAACTACGCTCCTCCACTGAAGTAAGTTCTACCCTCAAACGCCAACATCTGTAGAGCATCTGTAGTGCATATACTGTAAAGTGAATGCTATTCCCTGTGTTTTTATTCATCAATGGATGACAAGCTTTCTAAAATAGTAGCATTCTAATGAAAAGACCAAATGCTACGTATTCCGTATTAATACAAATGATAACAATTTGTTATGAATATAAACATTATTACTTTCTATATCGTACATACATCTACTTTTCCTGTTTACCATTTGAAATACTATCAGCCAGTACTTGCCTTTATTTAGTTCTATTTATGCCGTAGTTTCTTATTTGCTTTGACTTGTTTCTTTTACTGATTATTTATTATTATAAAGATATTTAAACAGCTTTGTTGAAAGGTGCCTAAGAGCCAAGATTTGTTTTGATTACGAATGCTTTGTAGGAATAATAAAGAACTTAAAAATAAAAATATTGATTAAATGGTCTTTTGAAACATGCTGGATTTCCCGGCCTTGAGTAATTTCTGCAGTCTTCCTTTCTGGTTGTTGGCAGGACCTCCACCAATCAATTCAGAGGAGTCTTAGAGTTCAAAACAACTTTGATAAACTAACATTCTTTATCTGATGTTTATTCAGGGAAAAGGGGAGTACACCATGGAGTACAGCAGATACCAGCCCTGCCTACAGGCAACACAAGAGGAAATCATCCAGAAATACTTGGAGTCTACAGGGCAGCTGCCTGCGAAGAAGAACAAGTGGAAGGCCTAAAAAAGCATTATCCACCAATTAGACTGGACTTTAACACGACAGCCGTCCCTCATTTCTACACACATCAACCGTGACCTACATTTGAGGAGCCATGAAAAAACTGACACTTTACTTTTGTAGCTATTGTTTCTCCCTGATGTTTGACCCACTGCAGAAAACATATTTATTACCTTGATTTTACAAACATTTGACCTTGTTGGTATAAAAAACTCTTTAGCGTAAAATAGCTTTTGTACTATGTACAGAATGGTCTTCATGTAAAAATGTCTGCAACAAAGATGTATATCCGTCTTTTAAAGTGTTGTTCTTTGGATGTGCGCGTCATTTGTCTCCACAACTACAAATGCCTTCTTTTTCTTGTACAGCAGCATGCTCCTGGCAACCTGTAGATCTAATGGTGTAAATGATTATCTACAAAAATATAAAAACAGCTATATGGATCTTTTGTTGACGATGACTTGATTTGCTTAGTCAATTAGGCCATTTATTTTTAAGTAATGAGAACATCTCTGTTAAACACAAGATTTTAAGTGGTGCGTTTGACTGGTTCTTATGGAGATACTCTTTTTTATGGATAAAAAAAGTTGTAGTCAAGCCTCCCTAGAAAAGAAAGACGATTCCAAATCAAAGCTAGATCTTCCTCACCGTTTCAGAGAGCTCGGTTTCCTCCACTGTCTCTGGGACGCTGTTGGGATGAACCGTCGTGAACGCTGAGTCAGCTTCAGGTCTGGGCGCCACGCTGGGGCTCCCGGTCACCCCACTCAACACAGCCAGAAGCACAACGATCCTCAGACTCATTATAGTAAGCTGTAAAACACAGAGGCCAGAGAAAAGGAGAAAACCACTTCTGTGAAGGAGCGCAGGAAAGGAAATGACCCTCCTGTCAGTGTGGCGTTATGTAACGGAGGAGGAGGAGGGAGCAGAAAGAAGAGACTGTCCAGAACTCTCTTCCTGGCACAATCTGTTTATTTTGTTCTCCTCTTACCTAAACAAACTGCTCCACTTTATCTGGTTCTGTTCCTCGTACGCTCTCATGCAACTCACTTAAGTTGTCAGCGCCTAAATGTTTCCACAGCCTCACGAGATGAATTGATTAGTTTAGCAACAGTAATTCCATTAGAGCAGCTGTGACTAATATGAGCTTGACGTTTTGCAGCCTCGCTCGGTCCACCGTGCCAGATTAAATGAAGCGGGATGTTCACTGAGACAAATCAAACACGTCCTGTCAATTTGGGGTTGTTAAAACGCAAAATCTACACAGTTAAATATCATCATCTTTATTTAAAGAGACTCTTGGTCCATTATTACAAAACATACAACACTCAAATATAAATTAAAAAAGGCAGTTATACCAATGTTTCCACAGAGGTGACTGGTATCGTACAGCTCTGAAACACGGATTTGAAAGCAGCATAATGACAGAGTTATGAGAAACATTCAATCGACAGATGTACATTAGATTTCTCAAAAGAGCATGGAACGTGTTGACTCGTGCATTACAGAACATTTCACTTGCACTGCACCACCTTGGTTTTCTAAGCAGTAGGCCTATACGCAAACAGTCATATGCAACCTGGAGCTTCCGGAGGCTCGCCTTCTTATACTTGACCCACAAGGGGGCCGTATAGAGAGGAGTGCAATAAGCTCTAAAGAGGTTCACCTTAACCTTATCTGAACACTATATATTAATAAATATATATTAAGGAGAGTTGTGAAAACATCAGCTGGAAAAGTAGCTCACAATCCAACATCCAACAATATTCTCACAGGACACACTAACACTTTGGAGACTATTTAGTAATTTCTTAAATTGTTCTGATATCATGGACCTTAGATTTAATTTTTAAAAAGGTAGTGATATTTTCCCCTCAGATTCTACGTTTAAGATGTTTTTTTCAGTTATATAAAGTATCAGACTCTTATTTGGGAAATACACCTTGACCTCAGTCACATTACTGAATCTAATCTAATTTATTATCTTTCCTAAAATTAGATGAATTGAAGAATTGCTTTTGATGAGCATGTTTAAATCTCCAAAATAGAGATGCTATTTGATGGTCAGGATAACTTTAATGAGACCTAATCAATAACATAAATGAATAACATCAATTATACTGAACAGAAAAGGCTTTTCACCGGTTGCACTGAGGTGCAGTTAATGCTCTGTGCATAATATGTACATACACTCAGTAACTGTGGGGGAAACTTCTGTGTAGCAATGCAGGAGGAGTCACCGACTCAGGAAGGAGACACGGGGAGAGCTGGAGCTCTGATGTCAAACACTGATGGTTTATTTAGGAGCTTCGGCCAGAGAATTCACAAAAAAAGTCAAAGAGTCAGAGGTTCTGACTTCACGGTAGAGTTGCCACGTCAATTCTGAAGAACTCTACCCCAGACCTGTTTATTTAGCTAGTTCAGAGAGAATAATCAACATGCTGCATAACAAGATAGAATCATAACACCTCTATCAGCTGACGCAAACAGGCAGGAACAGGGAGACAAAACACTGAGAGCACAGCAGCCAAGGTTACAGGTGCGTGTGCTCAGTCAGGACAGTATGAACTGATAAACTGGGTCAAAGTTATGGGCCTTGGAAAATATTTCCCCAACAGTAACCACATAATAGGGTAAACCTGTATGATCTACTGCAATTCAATAAAATAGCTCATAAATAATAATAAAGAATAATAATAAAAGTATACTTTGTAGCAGAACAGTTGTCATTTAATGTCTTGAAATTCTAGGTACTGTATAGATATAAATAGACATTGGATTATAGAAATCTCGTTTTAGATATAACAGTAAAGTGTGTCTTAGTTGGGTTCTTGAATTTGAGGGAATTGGCACATTTCAAAGAGTGTGTATATAAAAAACATCATTGGAAGACACTTAAGACGGGGCGGTGGTGGCGAAGTCGATAGGGACTTGGCTTGGTAACTGGAAGGTCACCAGTTCAAGTCCCGGCAAGACCAAGTGCTACCGAGGTGTCCCTGAGCAAGGCACCGTTCCCTACACTGCTCCCCGGGCGCCGTTCAAAATGGCAGCACACTGCTCCTAACACTAGGATGGGTCAAATGCAGAGAAACAATTTCCCCACGGGGATTAATAAAGTATATCAAAATAAAAAAATAATTAAACTCTGTGTTACAAGGTCAAAAACGACATTTAAGACACAGAGCACATCTCAGTCAACTTCTTCCTTCTCTTCTTTACTCCAGGCTCCTCATGGAAAACTGCAGGACTTTGAGCGCCATGTCCACTTGTACAATCTGTCTCTGGAACTTCATTCTGCCTTCTTCTACATTCATGACCGATATTTCCCAGCTGCGCCTCCCGGGGCAGATTATCGATAAGCTCGTAGAGGGTGAAGATACTGAAGCAGATTTCATCGTAGGCTGTTTTTGTGCCGCACTCAAACAGGCAGGCGAAGGCCACAGCAGGCGGGGCCCCGGGTGAGGGGGACAACTCTAGATAAGCCAGGTCGGAGTAAGCACTGGGGCCCTCATAGATCACCCAGGGGCCCCGCCAACTGTCTGGATCACGGGGGAACAGGCTGAGGAAGATGCCTAGATCCCTGCGTGCGGAGGTCCATGTCGGGTGGGAGTATACTACCCAGGTGGGGGTGAGGAAATCTGGAGGACTGGGGCTAGGGTTGGGAACAGAGGTGGAAATGTTTGAGGAAGTCCAGTGTCTGGAGTGACTTGTAGGTTGATGCAAATGGCTGTCAAGAGAAGTACATAAATGTAACGGGGCAGGAAATCCCACAATGCTTCCATGACAACCGTTTCGAGGCTCCACCAGCCGCTGCACCAGCTGCCCCTCCTGAAACACGGCTCCATCGTCCAGACTGAGGGCCTGCACCCGGTATCCCAGAGGGCTGCGGGCGTTACAGTACAGCACGTTAGTCCCGTCCTCCTCATCCACAGACACCATCTGACACTCCACGCTCTCAGGCACTGGCACCGCCTCCCCGAAATGCCAGGTCCGCCCGTGGGTGTCACTGTGGAAGCAGAAGGCGCGGGGAGTGGTCTGGCACAGCTGTCCGAAGCACTCTTTGCACTCAATGTGGTAAGCGTAGGCAGGTATCAGCAGGCGGCCCGACTTCAGCTGGATGCCGTGGCCCGGGCCGAGAGCAAAAGTGGCCCATTCTGCAGGGAGGGAGCAGGAAGTGAGAAGCAGGGGATGCATGAGGGGGCTGATGCCTGACACTTAAAGGATGTGTTCCCATTTGGTCAAGTCTGTCTAAAAATGAAACTCAGAGTACATAATGGGCGAGAGTTTTTTTCTTTTAGAAAGACTTGAAAAAGTTTAAAACGATCTTTTAACAAGTTCAGTTTGCACACCGTTGCACATCCCCCACTTTCTGAGCAGTTTAATTGATAACCCTGAGATGCTCGCCTGAAGCAGATATCAAGAGTGAGCTACACTCATCTGGTAAGCTGACTTTTCACCGAGTACCCATACGCTTTGTTTCTTTTTCATATTTTTAGTTTTCAGCCCCAAATTATGCTGACAATTTGTCAAACAATCTGGAACCGCATAGACTTTATACATCTTTTCATCACCACAGATACAGGAGAATGCAGAAGAATCAGAAAACTCTTCTGAGATCAATGTTTAAAATCATTTTGCATAGAAAAAGACAGCTTTCTAAGTTTTAAATAATCAGAAAATAATATGTTAAGTCTGTTAAAGGGTGGATCTTTCCTTCATTTCAAGGCTTTATTGTCATATGCACATTAGCTACAGAGTAGATATGGCAATGAACATCTTAATTCACAGGCCCCTCCAATAGTGCAACATGAATATATATAGGACATAAAACAAATAAAAAAGATAAAATAGTAATGAAGCCCTAACCTTTGATAGTATCTCCTATGACACTCTTGGTGAGGTCGGTGACAGGACTCCAGGTGTCTCCTTGGTCGGTGCTGCAGACGTAACAGAGACGGGTAACATTCCTCCCCGACACCAGCTGATAAGACTCCGAGGTGTGGCCCAGGACAGCGATGAAGAACAAGAAGAGAGTTCCTGTGAACTCATCGTACACCGGGCACGGGTTCATGGAGCGATGGCCTGGCAGGAAAGCAGTGCCCAGGACACGAAGGTCATCCCACTGCAGCAAGAAAGGAGGGAGGTTATAATATTAAAATACTACATTTTACCTGGTAAAATGGCTGAGAAACAAGGTAGTTTCAAGGTGTCTTCTACATAAAAAAGGTGTTGTAATTTACCTCTTTGTGTATTTATGTATTTAGGAAATCTAAGACAGGAAATGGAATTCTGTGGTGAACATTTTGAAGAAACCACTTAATACTGTTACTCAAGTAGAGAATTGCTTGACTATATAACCATAGAATATAGTAAAGCTCTCAAATCTGAAGGGCTCTACAGTATCTACCTCCACATAGTTCCTGTAGAAAGTGCCTTTCCTGAGGACCAGCAGGTGAGCCTGAGAGTCGGACGGGCTGAGTCTCTCCTCACAGAAGGCCATGAAGGTCCTGGAGCGAGACAAGTAGAGCAGCGCTGGCACTCTGTACGTCACTCCGTTGGGCTCCTTGTGGAAAAGCACCGACCTCGCTGGAAAATAGGGCGACCTCATGCTCTCCAGTGCTCAGGAAATGTAAAGAGAACTCCAAATCCTCTGAGAAGGAGCTTAACAAAGATACAAAAATAAATAAATAAAAATATGTCTATCATGTAAAAATGAAAGTGAATATAACCTTTATTGTTTTCTATACAATTCTAACTGTAAACAGGGAGACCAATAGGTGAATAGGAGTGCTAAATACAAATACTATCTTTAATTGGACGACAGGAAAATAAATTACACATTCAAAACAATATCATCTTTAGTGAAACCTTCCTATGTAGTTGAGGTAGAAATTACACAAAAAGAGAAGATAGCATCTAATGTGCAGGTCATTACCAGAAAAAGGTAAATATCTCAATACTTACATTCAAAACGCTCTGTGAGAACCGCTGCTCCTGTGACAATATACAGGTTGTGTCAGCATTGAATGTGAGTGAGTGTGTGTGTGTGTGTGTGTGTGTGTGTGTGTGTGTGTGTGTGTGTGTGTGTGTGTGTGTGAACCATGGCCTCTCCTCTCTGTTCCCTATTCAGTATGGCACACTGTTCGCTGACCTAGAAATGGACCACACTCATCACATCTACAGCTTTAGATGATTCAGCAGGTAACAGCCATTGTGGAAATGAAGGTCTGCTGAACAATGATCTGATGTTCTGCCTCCTCGGAGTCCTGTGTGGTTTTCATTTTCTGCAGCATGTGTAGCAAGTTCTGCTTTACTGTTGGTTTATATTTCACAACTGAGACAATGTAGTGTACACATATAATTGCAAGTTATTTTTGTATAGAAATGTAATTGAGATAACTTTCCCTGAATACTCCTTTCAGTCAGCCTTTGCTCAGTTTTGCACTAGCATCAACATCCACCATACACTGATACACTGATGTGAGTAAAGGGTGAAAAACTAAAATAGCTCAAATAATAAAACTACAAGGAATAAAAGTAATACATACATGTTAAATATATTTTTTACATAAAGTTCATTAGATGTTGTGGTGTCAGCGATTCCTGGTGAAAACATGTTTTAGGTAATCAGTATTGCAACAACATAGAGCTGTATACAACTATGTGATGTCATCAATGAGCGACCGGACCCCACATGGTAGCCTGCTAAAGTTTTGACAGCAGTTTTCTAAGGTAGTGTAATTTTCTTTTTGTCTTGACCTTATCAATGCATTTTAACAGCGTTATTGTTTCACAAATTATCTTCAATCAGCGGAATAACAATGTCACTTCAGCCAAACCGCCAGCTGATCGGGGAGTTAGCTTTAAGGCTAACACATTAGCATAGCTGTTAGTTTTCTTCTGGTTTGACATTTCCTTCTTGTGTTTGCAGTTATTTCGCACTTCTATTGCTTTCAAACATCAGTCTGTCTCTGATGATGTTTCTCCCTCTTATGAGACATAAGTATTATGAGACATAATAGACACATAGTAGCTAGTTTAGTTTTAGGTTAGACATTTGACAGACATGAAATCCGGTCATATTACTCAACTTCACAGACTGTCGGCATTATAATATTCAAATAAAATAGAAGAAGCCTAATTGCGTTTTATTTGCCCACTGTAGTCATGATATCTGGTGTGGATTTAGATTCAATGGGTCCCATGACATGGAAGCTATTGCAAAAATAATGTAACTTAGCAACCAAAGGCAGAATTGTTCCCTTTTTAAATAAAATGGAAACAAACTCTAGTTAAGTTGTACAAATCTCACTCGTCACCGGCTTGAGTTTCAAAACAGGATACATATTTTATTATTTAGGGTATTTATTATCCTTGCAAGAATGGAAGTAGTCATCATTACATACAGAGCATACGGTACAACTATTTCCCCGAACAGTGTCCTTCACTTGCTTATACAAGATGGAGAAATACCAGTTAAAAGCAGTATTGATTTCTTCAGATTAGCTAAGGCCCACGTCAGAAATGATCATGCTCGAGATATGTCTATCTGCCTAGAGGCTGAATCATCATGTTAATCGTTGTCACATAGCTTATCATATGCCCATAACAGTGTGTCATGATGCTCTGTAATCATACATCCTGCCATATACAGTTATACACTTGGGCCTTCGTTTTCATGTGTAACTCTGTCCTTAATAGAGTACATTCAGTATTTCCCCCAACACATTTTATAAAAGAGATGTGTCCAGTATAGTTATATAATTCTGCTTCGATGGAGGTAATTGAAAATATCTGATATTTGTAAATAAAATAATAAAGAGCTATTCATTGACGATCAAAGTTGCTGGTAAGTCTTCATTATTTAGATCATCTTTACTGCTGCTTTGAGGTTTTGCCATACGTCAGAGCAACACCACAAATGCATATTATTTCTCCTCACTTTCTGCAGGGTCAGCATGGCCGGGCAGTGGTCTGAGGGCCACTCCACATCCATCCTGTGTGTCGGGGCGTCTTCAGGCCCCGAGGGTCTCCTCGCCTCAGGCTCAGAGGGTGGAGAGGTCACATTGTGGAGCCAAGAGGGAACCATCATAGGCCGTCTCACTCTCCCTGGTGGAGAGGACAGCACCAGTGTTGTGTTTTCTCATGCAGCTCCCGGACAGCTGTACGTGTCACATGGAGATGCAGTGAGTGTACTGGATCCCCGAAACCTGAAGGGCCCTGTGGAGGAGTTTCAGGGTGCAGGGGAGGAGGAGATCAATGCGTTGTCCCTCAATGAGACCGGGTCAGCCCTGGCAGTGGCTGATGACTCCGGGGCGGTCCGGGTACTGGAGCTTCCTGGAGGAAAAGTGTGCAGGACTCTTCGTAGACACACTAACATTTGCTCCTCTGTTGCTTTTCGGCCACACAGGCCCAACAACCTCATTTCTGCTGGACTCGACATGCAGGTAAGGGAGAGGACCATTTGTAATTGTGTCATGTAAGTACTACATTTTACAACTATGGCTTTTACTACCATTATTTTCTCCATTAATGGTCTATAAAATGTCAGATAAACTGAGAAATGCCCTTCCCAGTTTCTTAAAGTCCAAAATTAGGTCTTTCATTATTTTTAGTCAGCCCTAAACCCAAATGTATTAACTCAAAGGAACAGCAGGGAATTTCCAGATTTAATAAGCTTAATTTTTACATGGAAAAGTACTTTTACGTTTGATTTTAAGAATAGTTGGCAGTTAGTTTTCTATTCATTGAATAAAAAATAGTTGCAACTCCGGATCAGTTTTACCTTTCTTGTGCCTTAAGGTGATGCTGTGGGGTCTGCAAAAGACGCGCCCTCTTTGGACCGTGAACCTCCAGGATGTGGCAGAGGAAGAAGGGGACGATCAGCAGCGTCCTGGGCAGCTTTTTAACCCGCCTCTGGTCCACTGTGTCTCTGTGGCGAGTTGTGGGAACATTCTGGGTTGTGCGGCAGAGGACGGGCGGGTGCATGTGATTCGGATCGGCAGCGGCTCTAAACTGGAACAGCAGGGAGCAGTCAAGGCTCACAGTCAGGGGGCCTCACAAGCCCACTTTGTTAGTTTCCTTTCCCACCCTCACTGGCTCCTCACCGGGGGAAATGACGGCCTGGTCGCCCTGTGGGACCTCAGTAAGCACCCAGTGGTGACTCCAGAGGCAAAGGCTGGAGTCACCGCTGCCCCACGCAGGAAGAGTAAGAGCAAAGCAAAGAGGAAAGAACAATCCCAGAATAAAGCCAAATCCCCACCAAAGGTTGAAGCAGAGAAAGAAGAAGAAGGGGAGGAGGAGGAAGAGGCAGCATGTGCAGAAGAGGTGACGGAGGAGAAGTCTGGCCCCAAACTTCGCATCAGTCACGGGGACAAAGTGAACTGGCTGTGCCCTGTTGTGCTGAAAGGAGAGCCCAGTGTGGTGGTGGCAGATCAGAGCGCCAGCCTGACAGTCTACCCTCTGTCTCCACTTTAGATTAACTTAAAAACATGCTCATATCTTGTCTTGTTTTAAGTTTATAGTTTTGAAACTCTGTAAGGTGTGCTCAGAACAAATGTGGAGCAGATTTTGCATTGCGTTTTGAGAACATTTGGGCCTAACAGCCAATAGACTTACCTCTAAATATACTTAAACATTTAATTCCACCATCAGCCTGTACACACTTTTCCTGGCATGTGCCTGTTGTGTCGTCTCTCCCTAACATTAGTCGCATTGTATTATAGAGCTTCGGGTGCCCACAAACGGCAACAATTAGTTTTCCCTCTATTTCCTATTCTTGGTGATAGAGTCTTTGTATGTTATCGTACAGAGCAGAAGCTGCTTTGCATTTGGCCTTAGCACACCTCAGAGTATACACTCCTGTTTGATGATGTATGAACCTGTTGCATCACTATTTGGACAGGATTTTAAATAGTCGCTGTAAAAGTGGGATCTTGCAGAAAACAAACACTGGTGTTCCAAAAAGCACTGGAACAAACAAATCTGTTTCCTTTGAGTTTCTACATAATATTCAACTGACTAAATGTTGTGTTTCAGTTGATGCCATATTTACTGATTGAATTTGGCTTGTTTGTTGTTTTGCATGTGTGTGTGGTCCTATACAAAAAATGTCTTCCTTGGAAATACATCTTGCAACACATGCCTTTTGTGAGCTGTAAAACTACCACACCATAGAAAATAGGAACGTAGCATATTTACCAGTCTGTGGTGCTTTTGTAGAGTAAAGACATCTCAATCCAAACCAGGTGCCAGACAGATTAAAACAATCCCAGTATATATTTTCTTGGGGTTTGTGGTGACCTTGTTCACTGGGACCTGGAGCTGTTTTCAAAAGTAATCTAAATCAGCGCCCTGTGATCTGACACCCAGCTAAACCCCGTTTAATAATGTAATGTACAATTAAGATGTTGTTCTTTGTGTTGATAATATCATGACTGCTGCTTATTATCACACAGACCTCCTTAACACCAGACAGACTGTCTCCTTCTACTATTTAAGAAAAAGTGCTTAATCTGTGTATTTCAATTTCATCTAACAACAACTTCAAACTACCAGTTTTTTTTAACAAGCCAGACACCACAAAAAACAAATTCAAACATTTCTTGCAAATGCACTGTATTCACACGACACTTTCACACAAGTAACCTGTCATTTTCTTTGCTAACCAGCAAAACACTTTTCTATAAGATTACCTGAAGAAGGCACAAAACTCAATGTTCAAGTGAATAAATCCAATTCATTGCCCATCGGTTATCACAAGGCAGCTTATAAATCCAAAGTTTAAAACAAAAATGGTGAAAACCTGTGACAGCTTATGGTAAATGTACCTCAAATTGCAGCAAAAGCAAATACACTTAAATGCTTTAAACTATTCAGTATTTTTTCTAGAAAGCCAAATGAAGCACTTGAAGGAGGATCACAGTAAGTTCGACACTGAATAAGCACACAATCATGTCTCATCGCTGCAGAGGGCCTGATAACTGCTACATCATTTCCTTTGCATTACTTTCAGTCTTTTTGGTGTTTTTTTGATTGAATATGCTTCAAAAGTTGTTCCACCTTTTAAGTTTTACATCGACAGCCAGCCAGATGGGGCTGATTTGACATTTCTGTCAAAGCAATCCTCCACCTGGATATCGCAGCTCCTTTGATGTCTGAAGTGATTGTGGACGGTCATCTGAGGTTGTTGACTTTACAGTTTAGCCAAGCTCTTCTCCAGACTCTCAATGTCTGCATCCCCCTCCTCGCCCTTGTTGCCGCGGGCGCTGCACTCCAGGAACTCAACCTTCAGGGGCAGCTGGCCAAACTCAAAGTCCTTGCCTTTTTTCCCCAGATACACACTGCCGCCCACAGAGCCGTCCTGAGAGCTCAGAGCTGCAGAGTGCGTCACCCGCAAGGTGTTCCTACGAGAAACAAGAGACAGGGTGATTGTTGTACATCAAACCAAATACTCTGGCTGGTGAAGTATTAATCGCAGGGTTGGTGGTCACAATCTCAGCTGAACTGTCCTTAAACAAGACTCTGAATCCAAATTGCTACCAATGGCAAGTACACGTACAGTATATATGAAGCACATTACATTTGTGATTTGAGGTGTTCATTTGACTAAAAATAGATGAAATGTGAATCAGAGCGTTGCTATACACTTTCCAGGCAGTCTGTCTGCTCCAAACAAATGTTTAATTACATTTTTTTTTATTCTGAATTTTATATTTTAGAATAGCCTACAGGATATGGTTAATGGTCAACTGTGATTAATGTCCCTTAATAATTGTTTCAGTTAAATAAGTTAAAATCTAAATCCGAACGTTTCCATATTGATTAGGAACCCTGGAATCAGACACAGTAAATGGCCCAAAATACAGCAAATACATGAGTTACTTACATTTCCTTTTCCAGCTGCTGCTGGATCAGTTTAGCTGATTTTGCCATGGTGATATCTGTAAAATAAGGAGACCAGTCAATTCTGCTGCCAAATAGTAAATAATAAACTTCATAGTGTAGGCTCAAAATGCAGAACAAAAGGATTGTAAAGCAATAGTGTGGTTGAACCTTGTTTGTTGCATGCCACCACGAGAGCTGGAGCGTTCCTGGAGATCACATTGTCCGTTAACAAGATGTACAGGAACTCTGCCACGTCTCTCACTTCTTTTTGGAAGATAGCGCTGTCCACTACAAACACAATGGCTCTGAAGAGAGAGTGATAATGAAAATATGTCATCAGGGAAAGTTGGTAAAATACTTTGTTAATATTATCCACTCCAGTGTGTTGTGAACAGCCATATAAGCACAACTAAACCAAAAGTTGTCATTGCTTGGGTTGGGTTTGATCAACATAATTACGACAACGCCAATGTTCTCTGTAGGTCAGATTTAACGCTACTTTTGATTATTTGGAAGAGTTTTTCAACGGAAAGGTAAATATGACCTTTGGACTAGAACATTGACAATTTAAATTTAGAGGCTATGGTAACTGCCTTTTCTAGCACAATACAATGGTCAAGTAAACTTAAGATAATGGTCCTACTTTATCTCACTAACAGTCAGTTATAAACGATTTAGGTAGGTTGTTCCTTTTCTTACCTAGCTCCAGATTTGAACTTCTCCAGGTACAGAGAGCGGAGACTGTCATGTCCTGGCAGGTCAATCAGAGTCCAGGCGCTGCCCTGAATACAGGAGGGAGAGTGGATGAATGTAAGCCATGACCATCATGAAATCATCATAGCTGATCATGATAAAGTGTACTGTACTTACTCTGTCGTTTTTGGCTTTGTAAGGAGCACTGCTGTCAGTGATGGAGGTCTGTGTCCGCTTGAATTTACTTGCCAACAGCTGTAAAAACACAATATGTAAAATCACTCAGATTACTCATGTCTCTCATTGAAAATTGATTGATTGAACATTTTATTAACAGATTGCAGAATGGGTACAATGCAGACCAGAGAAAGACTTTCGTCTTGTTTACATCAGGGTCCCCCATTTTAATTCATCATAACATATATGACATACAGATAGATTACATCAGCTGAGCAACCTTTTAAAGACAACGTGGCGATGGCGCTTCAGTTGCATAAACTCACCCGGCTGAACAGGAGCGTTTTCCCCGACTCACACAGACCCACCAGCAGCACAGCACTTCGGACAGTTTTACTGGTGAGGAAGTACTTCAAAAACACTGGAAAGAGAAAAAAGTACAGAACCAAGTTACTATGTCATTCTCATTCAAACCACATGGTTCACAAACAAACAAATGCTACAGAAAGTTGAAAGACTTCCGTGTGGAATAATGACCAACTGACAGATGTTTGCTTTAGCTTAGCAGTTAGCTTATCTGCTTGCTAAATAACCTTTTGATTTGTTCAAGCACACATTAACTAACTAAATGAACATGAGACAAAACATGTAAACACTGAACGTCCAGCTGTCCAACTCGCTATATAACACGTAGCTAACTGCTAAAGTAAGGCCTAGCCTGCTAAACTAATGTTAGCATGCTAACGGTGACATCTTACCACAGGTAATGACAACCACTGCCAAAGCGACTATAAATCCGATCAGAAAAATGGGATCTTGGTCTTCCAGTTGCTGTCGTAGGAATTCAATGTAAGGTTCAAATGGGTTTTCTGATATTTCCACGTCGGCTTTGTCCCCCATGTTGCCACCGGTGCTGTCTGCCTTCATCTGTCCGCTGAAGCTAATCTGAAAGTGGGACACGTCTCCTTCCTCTGCGGCCTGTACAGAGGCTGGGCGGCCGGCAGGGGGCGCTGCAGGCCTCCTGGTGAAGTTCATTTTATTCACATTCTGGCTTCTAAACTGGGGGGTGAATAATTAATTTAACTTTAAATATTTTATTTATTTTTCATTTTCATTCAACATAAAAGAGGACAGTGAACAGTGAACATACCAGGTCGTCCAAAAGCATTGATGGACAGTATTGGCTACATTTACTCAAGTAGTCTAGTCAAGTGCACATAAATAAATAATTTGAAGACACCTATAAGTAGGCTATTTTTAATATGAGAGGAAATGTTAGACATTTACTCTACTAAGGTAAACCTGTCAGAAAGCTGGAGGGTTATGTTAAGTACATAATTGCACTTTAAATGTGCACTAACTCGTTACTGAGGTGAATACAGGTTAGCTCACTACTCTACCAGCTGGTTAAAAGCATGATTTACTAATTTAAAGATGTTCCGGTAGCTTAATGAATATATATTTTACTTCCCAAATCAAAACTTGATGGTGAGGTCATAAATCAAAAACGTGGGTAATTTGGGTGATACCCATTTTGTTAAAACATCTTATTGGTTTTCAATTAGGCCTATATAGCCTAAACATTAATCTGTTGGTTATTTGCAATCAAGTGTCAGAGGTAAACGAAACTACCGGATTATTTTAAAATCACATTGTCATCGCTCATATCTGTCTTTCTATCTCCTTATAGGCTATTATCAGGAAGTTAGGAGAATAGAGACATGAGTAAGACTCTGCAAGAAAGTTAATTAACTATGAACTCACTATTGGCTATCACATTAATAGCAGTAAGACTATATAAAAACTCATGGGGTTGTGGTTTTTGGTTGGGAACAGATGCACTTTTACGCACTCCGTCTCCAGCCCCCACAAGCAGCGCTTTTTACGCACATGGATATTTGACTCCTCAGTCCGCTGCACGATGTCAAACGCCAGAAACCCGCGTTATAGGAACAAGCTGTGTGTGATTCATTTGTCAGTTTATTTCTCCTTGGAAACATGAAATGACCAACTCATTGATGGTTTCAGTGGAGTTTGCTTAGACTTTATTTCCCCATTCCTTCAGATACTTCATCTCTCTAAGCGGGATTTATAACAGGGTTTACTTGAACATCTTCGGTATCTGAGGATATAAATCTATGTTAGGGGTAAATCAAAAGGAGATGATGGCTTTCTCGTTGTTTTACGCGCTGTGCATGTGGATAAGTTTAGTCTGTCCTACGCGGGGAACAGGGTTTGTTTATCACTTTCCGGGCATCACACTGCAGCGGCAGCGCATCAAGTCGGAACAAAGTGGCAACACTGGACCGCCAGGTACCGGAACCAGTATCCAACTCAGGTGAGCAGCACATCTGTATACTGTTTGTAAAAAATCTCTAGCACTATTAAATTGTCCCATTGATTATGGTTTTTCCATTTTCACATCGACTATTAGAGTGTTAAACCCTGTTTAATTTGTATTTTTAGGAACTGGTGTCAGTATACTGTTTCCAGAACAGTGACCTGTCAGGTGCACAATGGGACACAAACCACTGTGCAGAGAGTGTTACAGGGCTGCCGGTGGCCGGGACCTTGTTCCAAGTTCATTAGGTGAGTCGTCACACACCTTCAGCCATGTCAGCTCTTTCAGTGTCTGTGATGCTTAAACATTTTTTTTGTTCATGAATATAGAGAGTTGTGGGGAAAGATTTAGTGGAAACACTGCTATGCCACATTGTCACCCTTTCTTTGAATGTTTTGGTGTTGGTCTTTTAGTGATAATACTTTTTAAATATATTTTTGGGGCCAGAGAGTGCCTTTATTTGAGACACAGAGTGAAATGGAGAGACAGATCTGTCATATAGACAGATGCATTCCACTTTTACTTTACAAAAGCATTATCAACACAATCAAGTGAAATATTTGATCTCCGCCTCTTCCACTATCTGTTGTTCCAAAAAATATCCACTATTACTTAATGCAGTGCTTCTCAAACTTTTTTCAGTAATGTACCCCCTTTGAAACATTTTCTCAGCCAAGTACCCCTGACCGACCCCGAACATTTTTGATAGAAAAAGCCTATACCTAATTATAATATAGTGATGTTCATTTCATTTCAAACCTTTATTTATCCAGATAAATCCCATTGAGATCATTGAACTCTTTTACAAGGGAGACCTGCTCAAGTAGGTTCCACATGAAACATAAAAACATTAACAGAACAACAAAAGGACATCTTACATCATCATCACAGGGATTACAATTTACATAACTATCCACATGTACAGGTACCAACAGCTTCCGATTGAGTAGCATCCAACCGAGCTTTAAAAACATTTAGTGGCACCAGATTGCTCAGTTTCCATTTCAGTTGCAGACTATTCCAAGACAGTGGCGCTGCACATCTAAAAGCTGTCTTCCCTAAGACAGTCCTAGCAGTTGCTAGATCAGTGTGTGTTTTATTAACTCCTTCATGCATGAATTACAACAAACTAAGCATATTTTCATCTTTATGCATGAGAACGAAAACAAATTAAAACAGATTTTTCAATTGAAGTAATATATGTTTAACAAACCAATGAACAAATTGATTATGCAAAAACTATAAAATACAATACACACATTTGACATGTTTATATGAGGACCCCCTTGGTGGTTCTAGGAATATTTTATATACAATTGTGTTTTCTATTTAACTTATTGTACTAAGATTATTTTTGTAATCCTGCGTGGTGTTTTTTAATTAACCTTTTTCTTTTGAATCTCACGTACCCCCTGCAGTACCCCAACGTACCCCTAGGTGTCTGCGTACCCCCATTTGAGAATCACTGATCTTAATGGTTCCATATATAATATGTTGCAGCTTTATGTCCGTGCATTTGTATGTGTATATGTGCATGTGGCTACAATCCATGTCCCTGTGCTCTTGTGCAGCTACAGGACGGTGATCAGGCCATCCTTCAAAGTTGCCTACAAGCAGGTGACTGCACTGGAGTGGAGATGCTGCCCAGGGTTTGTCGGAGAAGGCTGTCGTGAAGGTGAGTTTCTGATCTATGCTCTCTTCTTTTTGTCTTTTACAAGATGTAGGGGATAGTGTGGTTGGAGAGTAAATCTCTCAAAGACTGAAATGAAGGCCATGTGTTTTGCCCTAACCCATCTGTATCTTTTTAGCAGCTTTACCCACATCAGTGCGTTGTTTAATGTTTGGTGGTGTGTAGTCGGGTAGCTTGCTAATGGTGCTTCTGTGCAGCAGTTGGCCGTTTGATATCATTGTTAAGTTGTTTGGATTTGACATTGCAAGCCTGTTTTGGATTACTGTAGTTTTGGGAGAAAGGATGGCAGTAAAGCAACAGTTGAAAGAGATTCTCTACCCTGTGGTTTTGTACCTTTTCTTTTATGGTTGTGCATTAAAGACACTTCTGTGTCTGGAAGGAGGATTATAATCACTTTTGTTTCCCTCTGTATGTCTTTCTTTCATTGTGTATGTACTCCCTGTTAACCACAGACAGAGGCAGTTCTCTGTCCCTCCCAATATCGTTAGTCTATAATATGAATGAAAAAGTCTAAGAGGAATGTCCAGCTGAGCCGCTTGTAAAGTGGGAGGCATAGTGTTGGTCTCATGATGGGCAGAGCTGCTCCTTGATACCACAGACCCGCATACTCTAAGCCCAGAAAGAGCAACATTTTCATCCAGGGGCGAGACAACACAATCTGCCTGAAGAAACAGACTTTCAGGGTGGATGAAGGTCTAGTGTTGGGCCCATAACTCTGCTCTTTACATGTAGCTATACATTTATAAACATGTGTCCACTGCTCAAAACCACATTGACAAGCATGTTTTCACATATTTAGTTTAAACATTGTGGATGCCCGTAAAACTGTTGAGGCTGCTTTGGCTTAGAGTCATTTGAACAGCTTTCTTTTTAATATAGTGAACACAGCAACTTTAAGATGTTTGGGGGGTGGGGCAATGCAGCACTCGTCTGATGTTTCTACATTTGTCCAACATTTACCTCTATGAGCAAGTTTTTCTTATTGGCCATAATTGCCACACCTTGTTCCATTTTGCAAAATGATTCATTGGAGGGCGAAGATTTACCGCAAGTTAAAAAAACACACATCAGTACTACTAATGGAATAAACATAGACATTATTACAAAGCCTTTGGAAACTATTATTTTGTGCAGCCATGGATTATTTGACTCAAAGATTAACAAATAACTGCATCCACAGAGTCTGTACCGCCAAAGATTATGGTTCACTTGAGTCCGCAGTGGTTGCAGGAGTGTGAAGAAATAATCTGGCAGTTTATTTTATGTTTGCTGAGATTAATTTGCAACTCCTAATGGCTTTAAAGCACGAGGAAAATTGCCTCCATATGGAGAGACAGAAGGCCACATTTGGCTCTGCGAAGAGACCTGAAAGACAGAGGTTGATGTCAGCGACAGTCTGCCTCACACCGAGGCGAGGAGGGGGAGCTGGCAGTGTGTCGGAGGGAGAGAAGGTGAGGACACCGTGGGGAGAAAGTTAGTACGAGTGCACAAGAAACAACAAGGTGTTAGAATTGGCAGTGCAGAAACAGCTGTGTAGAAAGAGAAAAAGCAGACAAGAGAAGAAGTGAATATAATAAGGAGTGTTTCTGTCCCACAAGGCTCCAGCTGCTATAAGCTGCCCAGACAGCAGCAGAGCAGAGAGCCGGCTCTGTGGGAAAGTGGCCCCACTGAGATGAATGAGCATGACACTCTTTCATGAGGTCTTTGTAACATACGTGACCATGCTAAAATCAGGCCACAGCTCCTGTTCTCCCTGTGTAACCTCAGTATAACAAAAAGAGGTTAATAATGGTTATCAGGACTTTCTTTGAGGGAAGCTTAAGTAGTTTATAGAACCTATGTCATTTTCAGTACATTTCTTCCTCAGGGCTTTGATTTCTGGAGAGCTGTTACATAGAAGGGAGGGTATGACAGTTGTGATATTAAGTCATGCTTCATATTTAAAACAGTCTGAGCGTCTTTCCAGCATTTCATAAAAAAATCCCTCTTCCTAGAATCAATCAGTCAAATACGAAGATG